TGTTTTAGGGGCCCAGCATGTTGTGAGCTACTTTATAATCCAGCTGGAATGCAAAACATCCAGATAAACTGTGCCGAAAGCTGTAACTGGCCACTAACGACCTGCTTTAACAAGCTGTTTCAACCAGTGTTAATTAAGACAGATTATGTAAAGCGGAGGGTGTTTGGGTGACACAACACATGGGTTGTTATAGGAGTGAACATTTGGTACCAGGTGCTGTTGGTAGCTGTAAGGAGATCAACAATGAAACAAAGTTCAACATCATGTTTCTACATCAAGAGGTTTGTGTTGAAGTAGAATCATGCTCGGGCTGCATGCTCCAGGGTGCAAGCTGTTTACCAACGCACTTATTTTTTTAACATCCTTTTTCACACAACCCAAGCCACTGCATATACTGTAATTTAATGTATCCTGTCTGTCTGTGTCTGCCTCTGTATTTATCCAGTCTGTGTGGTATGTTGAGGGGCAACAGGGCGTTTCCCCGACAGCTGAAGTTCAGTCAAGGATAAAGCTCATACACAAAGGCAAAACACCAACTCCATCTAGCCTGCTTGAAAACATGCACATGCCATGTACCAGATGATGATCATATGTCCTGAGAGTTGTGACAGTGGAAAAGGCCAGAAAAACAATTGACTCAGCAAATGTCACAATAATCTGCATAAGAGTCTGTGATATATCTTTTTGTTTGAAAGTGTCCAAAACAGCAATGGTTTGTCCTTGATGGCAATGTGCCCATTAGACCCTGATTTTTCTCGGTGGTGCAGGAGAAAAGTTCAGAGAGTAATAAGCAAATAACGTTAAATATTCACACTGGGAATATACAGAGCAAACAAATAATATCAGACCAAATGTTTTGTACGAATTGTACAATTTTACGTTACAGTAGACTTTAGAAATCATCTTTTTGAGACCCTGAATATCCACACATACAGGTTTTTTCTGAGAGATCTTGCTCTCTAGACCAAAGTGTTGGACATACCAACTGATCAATATCTCCATTAGGACCTGTTAGATACACACACACATCTATCTTATCTAGGTGCTGAATTAAAAAAAACTGTAACTGAATTATAATTCCCTAATGACTCCCAACTGTATTAACTACTGCTGGTAAAACATTGTACTTTTCTTATAAGACATATTGGACCAAAATCAGCTCTTCATCAGGTACAGAAAATATTGATTTATTTGTCATTTGTAAAAATGCATAAAATCGTAAAAATATCCATCATATTTCACAGATCATTTCAATACAGACTGTTAAATCAGTACATTTACTTCACTTTATTAAGGTGTAGGAAAATGATGCAAAACAAATCTGAACGGAGATACACTGATTGACTTGATTCACATCACATAATTACATTATCTAAACTCAATTTGTGAGGGTTATATATGTAATTATATTGTTTCTACACCAACAGCATCCAAGTAAAGACATTGAAACAGATAATTATCTCAACCAAAAGACAGGGTTGAGGAAGAGCATCTTTTGTATGTGATGTCACACAAAGACGTATTTTACGATTGGTTGTTCTACATTTAAGAGCGAACAAAACAGCGTCCTAGCTTATAAATGTGGCCCGAATATAAGAGGTTGTGGGGAGACATGTGATGAAAGAGACACTTTATAAAGGTTTAATGTGTTGTGCTACGATTGTGTTGATTACCTGAGTTGTCCTCAAGTTATTACATGGAAATAAAAATGGTTTCATAAAAGAAGCCAAAGAAAAAACGTTGGCGATAACTGTGAATTATGTCACCGGCAAATATTCAAAGTAACTCTGTTCTACAGTTCATGTGTAAGAATTTACTTCAGAATACTTTGTGATCAATGTATTTGAATACGACATCTATAGGGAAGAAGAGAGAAGGTCACTTATGTCTAGTATCCCTGAGCACATCCATCTGCTCTGGGGTCTGATCCCGCCCACAGCACCCTGGATGGATGATCAGCTTGATTGACAGATGGGTTCCACCAATCCCCCACTGTAATGATCTGTCCCCGCCCAAACTGTGACCTCATGTGGCCTGTGTGTTTGAGCAAAAAGATAAATGGGGAAAAACTTCTATGACTGAATGAATTCATGAAGAATGAAGCATTTTACAGACAGCAGCAGCTAACTCAGGCCCAGAATGCTTCACCAGTTGTTTCAGTCATGGTCTTGTTTATGGCCGTTAAATCAATATAACAATTAATGAAACACATTACCTTTTCCTACATGTAGCACCTATTTGTAATAAAATATGTATCAATGAGACAAAATGGAGCAAAAAAAACTTGACTTGAGTGCAAAAACTCTTACAAATAACTGCTTCGTTGACATCCTGCACAACGGCCTTTTTTCCTCTGTTTTTGTTAGTTTTGTGTTTTATGATGAACGAATGAGAAACTGGTCTACTGTCTGGAACCGTAGCATACTTATCATGTAAAAAACAAAATACCACGCAGACACTGCCAACAGTAATTGTGTAAATAACAAAAGGTACCTGTGATTGGCCAGCTGACTTTGTGGCCCCGTCTTCTCAGCTCCTCAGCTACCTCCTGGCCGACCCCTTCCTCCAAATGAACCGACCACTGATCAGCTAGACACAGAATGTTTAATCACAGTATGATTATCATTCCAAAAAGTGCTTTACACAAGCATGGGACACACTGTCTTCTTTCACAAAATTCCCATAAATCTCATGTGAATTCAGTAGAAAAACACCATCCTACTACCTACATAATGGCTGATAAATGGCTGGTGTTTAATCCCAGGATTAGAGAGGCAGACAGCTGGATTGTAATTAGAAAGAGCTGTTGTACGTGATTATAAAATGATGTTTATGCTATCACACTGTTCTCTATATGTGACAGAGTCTGCATGTGTGATTGTGTGTGTGTGTGTGTGTGTTTTGAGAGGACATGATATACTTTTGTGGTGATACTGTACATAGACTCTTGGTGCGTCCAGAGCTTGTTGAGGATTCATCCCAAACTCCAACATATTCAACAACACCTAAACACAAGGGCAACGTCAGTCAGTAGCTCATTAACACATTCATCTCATAAGACTGAACCACAATTAAAGCGAGGTGTGTTCAAGTCACTTAATGTAATGAAGTCACCCTAGCCTGCTGCACACAATGGTTTGTGTTTCCAATTTTTGATTTCTCAAATGCCGGATCTAGTCTGACTATTAAATAACATATTGCAACTTATTTGCAAACGGACAAATCAAAAGATAATGTTCACAAACAACAGAGAGACAACTGATTAATAACCGTGTAAGGGACATATCTTTAATACTTATTGTACTTTATCTCAAAGCTAATTTTTTGCAATTAATTTTCCACCTCAGTCTACTCTTGATCACAGCGTACCTGCACGTGTCCCTGTGGTTGCATCAATGCCCCCATCACTCCCAGTGCAGCAAGGAGTCGTGGTTTTTGTGACGTGGTTGCAGAGTCAGTGAGAAGTGCAGGTATTATGGTGTGAAATGGCCGCTTCCCCCCAGCGACACCATTAACGTGGTTACGATGCAGACAAAAGTTTGCACCGCGATTCTGTGAGCGGGAAAAAGGGATTTCATGAAAACACTATAATGATAAACTTCATAATAATCAACTTTATCAATGTCCTTTTTTAAGTTTTATTGTTTCTATTTTCAGATTGGATAACTTCTGTGGAAATGAAGTTTATTCCATGTTACCATGTAACTAGTGCAATATGTCTTCATAGGTCTGGTCCATGATTTCTTTATTTCTATTCATCAAATCCCCTGATGTTGCCACTCAGTGTTACACCCCCTTCTCAACCTCACATGCACACAATGGCATACCCTCTTTCTGACCCCTCACACCTGTAGTGAGAATCCACAATCCTTAGGGACCAGCCCACTTCCAAAGCCCATATAGGTGCTGTTGACAAATGAGCAGGCGTTGCCCTGACTGTCAATCACACAGAAATAGACTGTGTCACTTCCTGCTGTCAGGCCAGGCTCCACTTCTTCCATGGCCCTACAGATAAACACACATCAGACATTGTGGTTGTTACTTTTTTTTCATCTGCTGGCACCAGCAGCATGTTTTAGCAGACACACAACTCTCTGCAAATAAGCAAATAAATGGATTTTCCTCTATTCCTTTAAGTGTTTTCAATTGCTTAGCATGTTCATGCAGTTTTAAAATGCACTGAAAGATAAATAATAAGACAATGTGCTACTACTTAATGATAATTTATTTTCACAAGGAATACAAATATAATATTTTTATCAAATATATCTGATAGGAAAATAAAGGTCCTAAGTAACTGTCAACCTTGCACATTGGAAGCACTGGCTATCGCTTAGATAATCTTTATAATTGTGTGCTTTCTCACTACCTGTTTTCTCAGCGTGTCAGTCCTAATGTTCTTATCAGAGCAAAAAAAAAAAACATATGACAGCCTTGGTTCAAATATAACGTCGGGTGTCGGCTGAGGAGTCTGAATGCCGGGTGCATGTAAACACAGGTTTAACAGTAACCAGGTAATTGCAGCGCATGTAAACATGATCTATAATTTCCTGCTTTCACTTGATTTCTCCCAGTTCCCTGTTTTATTATGTGAACATAATGACTGTGAAGACAATACGTTTCTTACTGTTTGTATTAATGAGAGACAATGGGTCTGATTCACATTAAATATAGGGTTGGTTGAATCATAAAGGTTGAGTTAAGGTTGATACTTGATATTGATACTAAATAAAGTCCAGGTGTGAGGGGTGTACGTACGGGATGCAGCCCTCTGCATGCAGTCTAATGCATTATATGATACGAGTATATATGGTGACTCATAAGTACATATAAGTATATGTGAGACATAAATGGACTCAAGACTTCATCAGTTAAAGACACACCTTCAGAGTCAAACCAAGTCCAGCTAAGCCATCCCATGTGTATGGAAAAGGCCTATTTCAAGCCCCTCTCGAGGGGAGAAGCTGGTACACCTCATGCAGGACATGAGAAGGGTCCAGTGTGGCTTGTGCACCGTCTACGTGCACGCCCAGGTATTTCAATTATGGTGGTTTTTTTATGGGTTGAATAATACGTGTGTACATGTGTGTGCATGTTAAGAGATCGTTAAGAGATTATGAACGGTATAAAAATAATTTTATAGTCTGTTTGTTTTAGACCTGAGGTCAAAGTCTACAGTACTGGCCAATAAATACATATTGTTGCCAAAACATACACCCAACACAGGTGACGGAGCAGTGTAGGAGGGGAGGAAGGACCGAGGCATGAAGGGATTAACATTTATGTCGGGTGAGGGGAAGTAAAAATCTACGGCCCTATCTAAAGTCAACAGAGCACGACGGGTACACACTGGTACTGGTAACGGACACACGCAGAAACACACACCTGTCCATGCGGATGCGCTGCGCCCGCTGGTGGCTGTAGCTCTTGTCCAGTAAGGTTTCGAGAGGGACGCTCGCATGATCTGGGTCACCCAGGTAACGCAGAGCGTCTGTCAGCGCCAAGCGCACAGCCTCCGCCAGTACATGGATGTAGTCAGAGCTGTTATGGCCTGCAGCCCCACCCAGACACACACACACACACACACACACACACACAGATTAGTGCAAATCTAATTCTATGATGACTTTTGGTTTTGTCCCCTTGAAGGAGTAGAGGAGAGTTTTTTTTCACTGAAGATATTATCCCGTCAACAGTTCAAGTGGAAAGCTACAAGAAGCATCCAACCATCATTACCTGAACCCACACCCCCTTAGGGGTGCAGAGGCAGGGTACACCCTGGACAAGTCGCTAGGAATTCCATTCACCTCCTTTGAAATGTTGTGTAGGCAGAGATTTAAGAGGGGAATATCTAATCCCAGCCTAATAAAACCAAGATAATATGAATAATAATGTGAGTATGCTAAAGGTTTATCTTTTCTATGAAGTAAATTTTGATTCATCCACATCGCCAGACTGATATCTATACGTGGGATTCTCTCGTATGGAGTCCTAATGCATCTCTGCTACATCAGCATGCCAGTGAATACCTTTGAGAGGGAAGTTCTCCAGGATGTTGAGCAGCAGTAGGGCAGTCAACCCCTGACTGTTAGGAGGCGGCTCCCACAGACGCACACCCTGAACACACAATGGAGGTCATTCCCTCTGCTGACCACGTTTTCAAAAATACAGACAGATGCTCGCTGACCTCACCTTGTACTCTGTGCTTATGGGGGTGATGACCTCACTGTCATGGCTACTGAGATCATCCAGGGTCATGACTCCTCCATTTTGGTTGATGATTTTGACGATGGCTTGGGCAACTCTGCCCTGGTAGAAAGCTGGTTTGCCACGCTCACCGAGCTCCTGTCAATACATCAGTCCACCAATCAATCAACTGTTCAATCAATCAGCCTATTCTGCCTGTCCATGTGCATGTTTTAAAACCACAGCACAAAACACAGCCATTCAAATATCATGTAATGCAACATGAAAGATATGTGGGTGACGTGTCCGCTATTGTGAGTATCTACAGGTCAAATCAATGTTAGCAAATGAACAGGATGGTGTGTGTGTGTGTGTGTGAGTGTGAATGAGTGATTTTTCTCTACAAAAAAAAAAATGTATCACACACCGTCATCGCTGAGGAATCACCGTTATGATGCAATGGAAAACATCCATCAATGGGGCTGAGGTCACTGCTATTGTTTTAACTGCCTCAGGAACGTGACTGTGTGTGGTTGTGTGTGTGTGTGTGGGTGTGGACTTATAAAGGGCGTATTTGGCAGTGTTCCTGCATTATTGAATTAGTAAAGACTGATTGACCGTTTGATGCTGTAACACAGAAGAGCATTGAGCAGTGCATGCTTTACTGGTGATGCACAAGCAGTCAAACACATAAATACACAAACTGTGAGATCAGTCATCATTCTAGTGAAGTCACACCAACAGGAAACTACTAATTGAGCGTGGTTTTATGAATGTTACATTGTCCCCGCACGTCCAAAAATGCACCACCTCACTTAAAATGGTTTAAGGGGCGAGTTGTAGCGTCTCATCACGACATCTAAATTATGTTTCAAAGAATTTTCCCTTTCTCTGGGGGCCATTTCTCTACATAAATTACATTACATTACAGTCATTTAGCAGACGCTTTTATCCAAAGCGACTTACAATTCAGATTCTATATTATTTCTACACCGTAGGCACAGCTACGGGAGAAATTTTGGGGTTAAGTGTCTTGCTCAAGGACACATCAACATGCTACTAGCAGAGCCGGAGCCGGGGATCGAACCACCTCTGATTGAAGGACGGCCCTGCTATCCACTTGGCCACAGTCGCTATTACAGTCGTAATAGCGATCCCTCCAATAGTTGTTGAGATATTTCAGCCTGGATCAAAGTGGTGGATCGACCGACAGACACAGACAGACAGACCAATAAGCCTACTTTAATTGGATATTTGTTTGCCGTAGATATAAGCGGCTAACAGTACAAGGTACAAACAGAGGCATTGCTTTCTACTTTTTCGACCATGAAAGCGTGCCAATATTTTAATAAACTTTAACTTAGATCTGCTGGAAACTACTTTTAAGTGCATTGAGCTATGAAGGATTCTGTTGATGGCCAGGTATACAGGCTCCCTCCATCCTCCCCTTGCAATTTGCCATGTCCTTCATATTTTGACCAGCCCTGTATTCCTTCCTCCATCAACCTTGTTTCCCATCCATATTTAGTCCAACACGCTAATGGTTTCAGAGTTAATTATCCATGCTGCCCCTGGGTTCATTCAAGGTCTTCCTATATAGAAGGCTAAGTCAAGTTTAGAAAAGAATAAAACCTCTGGGAAGACGAGGCAACAGCAAACAAGTATTCTGTTTCCTTCTGTTCTAAATAACCAGAGTTCAGAAAAGAATGGCCCAGTGCTCCTCACATGACCTATTAACATGCGTTGTGTGTTTGTTAGTTTCAATGATTTACCTTCAGGGTCTGGGCCAGGGTTGGGTTTCTGAATACTTGTCCACATTTGGGGGCCTGACCATCGATCAGCAGGTCTCCACCTAGTTCCTTCCCATCATCTCTCAGAGCAGCCACCCATTTTGCCCAGTGGTGAGCCGTTACCTCTGCAACAGGATACCCCACCTCTGCAAGCTCCACCGCCCCGCTCAGCACCTCCTGCAAGGACAGCTAGGGAAACAGGGAGAGGAAGCACGCGCTTATTACCTCACAGGAAACCTCGCTGAGCAGGAAGTGTGAGTCATTGTTTTGAGGAGAAATATTTGGAGACCAACTGGTTTGTAATTTCCTCTGAGGGTTTTCAGTCTGTGCAAATGAGGAAACCCTTCACGGTTACTTTATGATGATGTGCCATTTACTTTTCTGATGTCCCAAAATTCCCTTAATGTTAACAATACTCACTTCCATTACATTAATAATATATTTAATTTCCTAAGATACATTTTGATAGCATAAAACAAACAGTTGTGAACGTGTTGCATGTATCTCGTAACTGTTCTCAAAATCCAATTGTAGCTGCACTGACATTATTTACAATTCATCGTATGTTTTCTCCTTAAGCCCCACTTCCCAAAAAGCACAGTCTGCTCTAATTGGCTTGCGAGAAAAATATGGCGCACCTTTTTAAAGGCAGTTCTCAAGTCGTGGGGGAAGATACTCAGATGGAGGGAGGTATATTCTAATGAGCCCGCATGTGACATAGGAAGGGGAGCCAAATCTGAATGGTTTACGGAATCACATGTTTTCTAATCTAGGTAGCCCAGAAAAACTGACTGGTTGTCTTATTTCACAGTTTGAGGTTTGGTAGGGACTCCAGATAGCCAAATGTATGTGCACACAAAAAGTTAGTTTTTCATAATATGTCCCCTTTAAGCATTCATTCTGCTCGGACAAATGAAGTTTGAGTGGACATGCAATGCAAAAATACACACAACTTAAGACCATGTAACTGCTTTATATCCATTTTAAAACAGGAGCTCTAAAACTACGGGCACGGGTACCAAGTCCAGCCTGTGAGGACAATGTCAATTTTGAGTTTTATTGTGAAGTCCTGCCCACAAATAAAATTTGTTTACACATTTACATTTTTCACCAGTCTTTTATTTTGGAGTTTTATTTTTTTTTTATTTTTAACAAGACTGCAAAATTAGGTTGACCTGAGAGATAAGACAGTTCCAAGAGACATGGACTGATTGTATATTTGTGAAGTGCAGTGTGACTGCTCTCATCTGCCAGGAGTACAATTTAAAGCAGACGAGTCTTCAGCTTTCAAATGATTATTGCTGAAGTATATTGTTTACACGGGAGTTTTTGTCTGCTGAGTTCAAGTCCCAACCCCCCAGGAGAGAAAAAACAGATCAGTGGCTCCAATTAATTCAAGTTTAGGAGCCATAGTTCAAAAGCTTGCCCACATTTTATTAGACCTGTAAAAAAACATACCTACCTACCTACCATAAAAGGCTAAGTAACTCCTGCTTGACCAAAAAAGGGAATATCCATAGAGCCAGTTTGTATCTTCTTGACCCACCTTCAACACCACTGTTGACACAAGTGTCAAAAGTCCTACTTCCAAGTGTGTTTGTTGGTGGTGTTCCAATAAGGCTCCCTTTGCAGTGTTTACATGTAGGTTGTTTACGTCATGTGAATGATTATGTTCGATGGGCTTTTGGCTACCTGGGTGTTGCATAGAACACAGCACACACAGATGAATACACAAACACACCAAACCTTGTGACTGCCAAACAGCTGCACGGTATCGCACCAACATGCAGGGGCCCCTGGTACTGTGACATTCAAGGCATCAGCAGGTGAGGGAGGTGCCTCCGCAGTGTAACCACGTCCTTCCAGGAAGTCCAGGGTCTGAGCTCTGGGCGAACGACCACTGAGGACACAGAGGGAGGCTCAGTTAATCATGCTGTACTATGAAGACAACAGCAGCGAAAGAAGAGTTTCCACCTGCCGTTAATTCCTCTGATCTCTCCGGTGTTTCCGTTGTAGAACAAGCAGAAGGCGTCTCCACCAGGACCGGTGCTGCACGGCTCTGTTACCACCAGTGCTGCTGCTATAGCAATCGCAGCATCTGCTGCATTACCACCACGCTTCAAGATATCTGGACACAAACACACGACCATGTGTGATTAATACAACCCTAGACCCTAAAAGGTCCTTATCAGTGTATGGTTCAGGTACAATTTACTACCACTTTGAGTACCTCACATGTGGAGTAACTTTACATATTACAAACATAACGTAGCTTCTCAATTTCTCCTGTTCAGATGTCCCACGTACCATGTTAGCTTTGTGAGCAGTACAAATAAAATGCCCTTCATCTTCATTGGTATCTCAAATCTCAGAGGTACTCTGACAGAAATAAACAAAAACATAGATGGATGGTTGCCAGTAATAGGATATTTGTAGTTTTGGCAAGAGGTGAAATGATTAGACAATCAGTAGATTGTCTCAAGCTAAATTGTCAAAGCGTTCTTCAGTTCCAGGATCTCCAGTATGAGGACTTGCTGCTTTAATTTATCTTATATAACGGTCTACTGAATGTTTGTTTGGGCATTTTGTAGGAAAGAAATCAGCAAAATGTCACTTTGGGCTCACAGAGATTGTTTCAGTTACCATATTATTTTATATTTTACAGACAAAATTAATCAAGAACATAATTGGTAATGGACTTTGGCTAAATGCTTATAAACTGACGTTACTGTGTCACATACAGTGTGGGGTCTGAATGAAAACCATATCTTCTCGTCAGTGAGGTTTAACTCAGAATAGCACTTGTTGTGCTAACCGTTTTGTAGCTAATTCGCTAGCATTAGGTTTAGGTTAGCGTTTAATTAACCAGGGTTAACTGGCGTTAACATTAACTGCCTGCATGTCCTTATGTGGAGCAAATTCTTGGTAGATTTTTCCAAGTTTAAGTGAAAATTATGTTTTTTGTTCTTAGTTTCCTTCCTGATTTTATTAACTAGTTCTTATGTGGAAAAACCGAAACGTATTCAGGAGATTGTCACTTTGTTGCCTACTTTAGATCATCGTGGCGAATTGTTTTCCACTCACCGAGTCCTATACTGGTAGCTAGCGGCTGGCTGGATGCCACACAGCCGTGTAAACACACAACAGGTGACCGGCGAGAGGAGAAAGACAAGTCGCTATCCATCCCGCTTTAACTACCAGCGACTGCTGGCAGAAACAAGGCAACACAACAGGGACAATTAAACCGTACCGGACTGGTTACTGACAGGACTCTCAACTTCTAATCGGTTACTCGGGTATCAATTGAGTTTGGCTCGACTGGGACGGGGACAGTACAGGGACGGTAGCAGAGAAACGGATGACCGATTACATCGATGGATGCTGAAACCTGTTGTTTTTTTTGTACTTAACTGATATTCACATTTTATCTTCAGGCCATTATTCAAGAGGAATCATGATGGAATAGCAAGCTAGTTAGAGGCGTTAGAGGTTATATGTGTCATGTGTGGGGACCCACCAGACGCATCTTGCAGTTTGCAAGTCTCAAGATGTCCTCGGATATTTACGCTAAACCCGATCTGTCAAAGAAGGTGAGATACGACAGAAATGTGCAGGAAGTAGATTGGGAGGAAAGGGAGGTGGACATCTACGAGAGGGCCGACGCTATCGGAGACCATCGCGCTGATACTCAGCCACCCGGAGGAGGTGAGAAATCATAAAGAAATCATCGTATTGTTGTTATCTTTGAATCGTGTTTGAATGAAATAAGAAACATTTGCATTCTGACCTCAGTTTTAAAGCTCTGAGTATTATCTGGTGTTGTGCTGCTGTTTTGGTGCCACTTTAGTTCAAACTACTGGAAAAAAGAAAAGCAAACTGGATCTAAAATGTAATTGTTTTGGGCATCATTCTTTCTGAGATCTAAGGAAGCATCAACTCTTGTCATGACAGCGTTACAACAGAGTGGAAAGAGCAACCACGTGACAGGAAGAAAGTAAAGTCTGTAGATTATCATCATCAATGCAGAGTCACAGGAGGAAGAGATGCTGAAGAGGGAGAGGATGATTAAAAGGTCCACTATAACTCAACATCTTCAGATGAGTTCATATGTGTTTGACTTTGAATTAATTGTTTAAGGGTGTTGAAATGATTCATCGTAACAGAATGTTAGAAACTAATGAAGCTGCTCTCTGTGCCTCTTTAGGACCGCGTACTGAGAAGCATCCTCCGGCCGTCCGAAGCAGACCTTTAAGGGTTGCTGCGTTCTGTCTAGGACTGCTGTGTTTTCTGTTGATCACTGGAATCATCCTCTTATCCATACGCTGTAAGATAAAGTACAGCACCTTCATCAGAAATCCTCCATCACAGGATTAAATGACTACAGGCCTGTCGCCCTGACGTCTGTGGTCATGAAATCCTTTGAGAAACTGGTGTTGACCCATCTGAAGGACATCACAGGGCCCCTGCTGGACCCCCTGCAGTTTGCCTACCGTGCAAACAAGGTCGGTGGATGATGCAGTCAACATGGGACTGCACTACATGCTGCAACACCTCGACTCCCCAGGGTCATATGCAAGGGTTCTGTTCATGGACTTCAGCTCAGCGTTCAACACCATCATCCCAGCAATACTCCAAACCAAACTCTCCCAGCTCACTGTGCCAGCCTCCACCTGTCAGTGGATCACAAACTTCCTGACTGACAGGACGCAGCAGGTGAGGCTGGGAAAAATCACATCCAGCACCCGGACTATCAGCACTGGCGCCCCCCAGGGTTGTGTGCTCTCCCCACTGCTCTTCTCCCTCTCTACACTAACGACTGCACCTCAGAGAACCCGTCTGTTAAACTCCTGAAGTTCGCAGATGACACAACGGTCATCGGCCTCATCAGGGACGGTGATGAGTCTGCGTACATACGGGAGGTTGAACAGCTGGTCCTCTGGTGTGGTCAGAACAACCTGGAGCTTAACAAGCTCAAAACTGTGGAGATGACAGTGGACTTCAGGAGGAGCCCCCCAACACTGCCCCCCCCTCACCATACTCAACAGCACGGTGTCTGCTGTGGAGACCTTCAAGTTTCTGGGATCCACAATCTCCCAGGACCTGAAGTGGGCTCCCAACATCAACACCATCTGGAAAAAGGCCCAGCAGAGGTTGTACTTTCTGTGCCAGCTCAGGAAGTTCAACCTGCCTCAGGAGCTGCTGATCCTGTTCTACTCAGCCATCATCCAGTCTGTTCTCTGTTCCTCTATCACTGTGTGGTTTGGATCGGCCACCAAACAGGACAGGAACAGACTCCAACGGATTGTCAGGTCTGCAGAGAGGATCATTGTTTCCAGCCTGCCCTCCATCCCGGACTTGTTCACCTCCAGAGTCAGGAAACGGGCTGGAAAGATCTCTGCAGACCCTTCACACCCTGGACACAAGCTGTTCCAACTCCTCCCCTCTGGTAGGCGCTGCAGGGCTCTGTACCAGACACAGGAACAGCTTCTTTCCACTGGCCGTCACTCTCATGAACAATAAATAAGTCATACTGCACTACCTCTGTTTGCACTGTTACCACCACTTGCACTATCACAATTCCATTGCCATTGTTTATAGGTTTATGTTCACATGTGAGTGTGTGTGTGTGTGTGTGTATATATATATATATATGTACACTTTTTCTTTTGGATATATATTTATACTTATATTGTATATACTGTAGCTGTTAAATGTTTATACCTACATCTGTTCTACTTTTTTTGCTGCCCTTTTTTATTCTTTATATATATTTTTTTGTTGTTTATTGTAAATTTGTGTTTGTATATTGAGAGCGGAGTGGAAACCGGAGTCAAATCTTATGCATTCATGGCCAATAAAGCTGATTCTGATTCTGATTCTGATTCTGAGGAGGACTGACCATCGGAGCAGAGGGCAGGCGGAGTCCGAAGGAGGCGGAGCCCGAAGCCAGGAGGGGGCTATTGGATTTCAGCCAATCACTGAAGCTGATACTGGACATTTGAACTTTCGGACTTAGAGACATTGTTTCACAGAACAAATAATAAGATCACTCGGAGCCGTCGGACAGCTAACCAGCTCGGCTGGTCTGTGCGGGGAATTCGTTTGGTCTCTGCTTCATGAAAGATATTTCTATCGATAGAGTAATTCAGTTTGTAACTGTCTTAGCTTCTGTTAATTATTAAATACTTTTTTGATTATAAACCGGATCCAGCTGATTTTTGGCACGACTGCTGACGAAACATATCAGGAGTGAGAGTGAGACGTGCGCCTTCCATAGTTCTGGGGAGAGGTTCTGAACTCAACACAACCACAGTGAAATGTTAGGAATAAACCAGGCCATAAGTATGTCAAACAGACACAACTACAAGTATTGATGCGTTTGCACTTAATGCCCATTTCCCCCCTAAAGCTAAAATCCAAGTTCTGAGAACAAGACTTCAATAATTAAGTTTAGGATGGAGAGCAGAAATTCTTGGACAAATTGTCAGCCAAAATATTAGAGCATCAAGAATAAGGAGAGAATAGAAGCTGTTGGTCATTCAGGTGATGTTGGACTTATTAATGGGCTATCCTGCCACACAGTAAGGTTTTAAACAGTCAGGCTTTTTTGAATTTGCATGACGTCAGAGCCCACTTTTTGAACATTTTTTTTACTTTAAAAAAGTAAAGTAAATAAACAACATGATCATCACCAATTAAATCATTGAGACCTGAAAAAGTGAGACCAGAGGCCAGGATCCTTTCGAATGTTATCAGCTAATAAATGACTGTTGATCCAAAGTCGTGAAAATGTCCACAGATTAATGACATGTGTTTGTCTTTTCACTCCACAAATAGCAATTCAAATTATAAAACTCTGAAAATAAATGATTTTATGATAGTTATTTTTAATCAACGTTAATTCAAGTTTACAGGATGCACAGGTGAATCCTATGACCTGATTAGTTACAGCTGTTAAAAAAAAGTGATTACCAGGCAAGTTTGTGGTCAGCTGATCGTCAATTTGTCCTTATTATTGGCATTTTGTGGGGTTTTAATGTGATAATTTCTCAGAATCATAATGTTTCACTAATAGATTTCTCACATACTGTAACACGTGATGAAACATTACTTATGAGAAATGATTACGTCGTTATAGAACTTTACAGATTAGACAGTTCTAATGAGGAACTCTGTCTTGTTCTCACTAAACCAGTTGTGCAGATTAGCCATGAGGGCTCCACTGTATCGACCAACTGTCTGTCTCTTCCTCTTCTGTCTCCATGAGCACAAAACACATGGTAGAACATTAACCACTGTGTCTTCAGCGGTGTGTCAGTGTGCACACAGGGGTGCTCCCACAGTGTGTGTTTGCATGCAGTCACAAGTGTGTGCACGTGTGTTTGTACATGCGTGTGTGTGATCCTGCCATATTACAGCTGACTGCTATAAAAGTGAAGCAGTGAGGCGGGGTGTGGGCTATAAAGGCTCAAATATAGCATAAACCAAATAAGAAACAGGACACGTGAGGCAGACAGGTTCACTGAGAAGATTCAGTGAAGCGGACAGAGCTTTTTGAAGGGACAACCAAGCTTTAGCAGAACTGGTGGTGTTGGAAAGCTGCAGTTTTCATTTTTTTATTCTATAACCAAGACATCCTTGCTTTGTCAGATTGAGATTCAATTGAAAGACCACCATTAGTGGGGGTTTGAGACACTTTAGGGGCCGTTACTTGTAGTGGAGGTTGAAGCATCCGTGTCAAAATGTGTTCAGGCGGCTTTGCCAAGTGTTTGGGGATCAGTCTGATGCCTCTGTCGATTGTATGCGTGCTGTGTAACATCCTGCTCTTCTTCCCCGGGGGAAAAGCTGTGGAGAGCGAACACATCACAGACGAAGTCTTGTACTGTGGAGGCATTCTGGGATCCGGAGTGTTGGTGAGTACGTTGAAATTACGACACTTGACAGTAATAGCCGGTAAAATTCAGAATAGAGTGCACTGCGTGATATCAGCATGATTTTGTCACAACTGATTTCTTTTGATGTTTTTGTAAAGTTTTAAAAATGTAATAAATTGCAACTTAAGCACATGATACGGAATGCATTTTGTCATCCCGATGCTATCTCTGTGTCTGTAGACTCATGAACACAGTATAGATTATAAATAACAAAAATGAATTTAATGCCGCAACTAACAATTATTTTTAATCATAGATTAATCTGCCAATTATTTTTATTTTTATTTCCGTCCTAAATCCATTCATTATATAAAATGTCAGAAATGAGCACAAAAATAATAATTCTTAGTATTCCAGATCTAACGGTGATGGCTTGATCTTGCTCTCGGCTTTGCTTGCTTGCTCAGCAGTTCAGAACCTAAATATATTTAGTTTGCTATAATAAAGAAGAAGAAAAAGGCAAATCCTCATTTAAGAATGGAATTGAATGTTTTGCATTTTGAAAAAAATGATTTAGTAACAGATCCAATTAGCTCTAAAATGTAGGCCTACGGTACAAGTCATGTATCTCGTACTGTACTGCTAGTTCACATGAGAGATATTGAGAAAACAGAACATTATCGAATGCTTTTTAAAGAATCTAGGACCCAGTTTAAAACCACTACTGTGATTTTAGAACCTTTCAAATTATTCTATTGGCATCAATCCTGATGAAAATTGGTGCAGAGTTAATAAATGGCAAGTTTAGGAACTAGTTACTTCATATCTTAATGATTATGGTGGGCAGTTCAATTTCCTCCTGGACCTGCATACAGCAGAGGAACAAATAATTCATCATCTTCTTGACTGTTTTATATCTGTGTGTGTGTGTGTGTGTGTGTGTGTGTGTGTGTGTGTGTGTGTGTGTGTGTGTGTGTGTGTGTGTGTGTGTGTGTATACTTGGGGTGTGTTTGGGCAACAGATGATCTTCCCGGCTCTGGTCTTCCTGGGTCTGAAGAACAATGACTGCTGCGGTTGCTGTGGCAACGAAAGCTGTGGGCGGAGATTTGCGGTGAGGAGATATTTCACAGTTCACCATCATGAAATTATTATTCACTGCTCTGGCTTGTCAAAGTTATGCGAGGATCCAAATTAGACTCACAAGACGGGATGAAATTAAATATGGATCGCAAAATAATTTTGCAGAAACTGGTGTTTTGTTTTAGTTTGGGAGGAAAAATCTTGTGAAAAAATAACGCACACACACATATTTACATGAAGGTCAATAAAACACTGAGGATTAGGAAGTAAGCCAACATCATAAATTCAAACATGTTAGCCTAACAGCTTAACAACTGCAATTGTTATCATGTACAATATCACAACGCTGGAACTGAAGCAGCTAAGTGGAATTCAGCCATCATTAATTTTATAATTCTGCTTTCCTCAGTGGAAAAGGTCTATTAAACCGGCCTGTTGTTGGTGTAGTGGCCGCAATCGCAAGTGCAAATCATGTGACACCCAAGGACCCAGAATGTAATTTTTCTATATAGACCCTGTACAAAAGCCATCCATTTAAACAGCCAGTCAAGTATACAGTCAGCCAGAGAATGACGCCTGCAGCAGGAAGAACTACTGTTTTTCCCAACTGTGATGCTGAAACTGATTTTGTTGGAGTGACCGGACTGCCTATTTGTCCTCCTACTTGTTTCAAAGTGCTATTGTATATTTTCAACCTATGTGAATGGCAATAACTTGTTATTTTAGGGCCTTACCATTAATTGGAGTTCAATTTGAATAAATAAAAAAATGAAAATATGAAATATTATTTGCAGCACAAAAACTTCAGCACAACATTTTGTGGCGGTTTATGGTTTATTCAGCTTATTCTTTATGTGAGGGAATTTTATGAATGATCAACTTTTTTGAATTTGCTCCACATTTACGTCTTTGTATTATATACATAATATTCTGAGCTGTGCTCGCCACAAGAGGACCTCGATTAGTAACTTCTCCAGAAAGAAAACCATTTTCACCACAAACAACGTTTATAATCTATGTGCCTTTTTATTTTATTTTTGGTAGGAATAGGTACAAAGAAACATATGAACCTCATGAATGGCCCAGCAAAAAATGAATGAATGAATTCATTAAAGAGAGATAATAGGGCATTAAGGCTTACAGGGTGTTGCTTGATTTCATTCTACCAGGATCTACAGTATCTCACCTGTTAACTAAAGTTTAATAATTTGTAAAATAAACACAATGGCACTATGTAAACACCATCCATGATTTATACCGCAATAAAAGCAAAAACACATTCACACCCAAATTGTGAAGAAATTCCTGTGTCACATGACTTTATCACACATAGCTGCTATTGTTGCGGTTCAGACACACATACTGATCGATGCTTCAGGAATGTGTAGGTGTGTTTGCGTGTGTGGGGTCCAGGAAAGAATCAGCACACAAAATTCTGTCAGATTACCACACACACACACACACACACAAACCTCAGTAGGTTCGTGACCCTCAGCCTGGTCTCTGCACACTGAGATAACAACTTCAATGGAGTGACAGAAGTTAAACGCGAGATTGCTAAAATATTGATTCCCATTAACTTCTTCTTTTCTCTCTAGATGCTGACCTCCATACTGTTTGCAGCTGTGGGTGTTGTGGGGGCTGGTTACTCAGTTATAGTTTCTGCTGTGGCCATAAACCACGGACCTGAGTGTCTGGTTAACATCACAGGCATGCAATGGGACTATCCCTTCTCAAACGGGTGAGACACACACTACTCAAATTAAGTATTAAAATGGATAAATCTTATTCTAAATTACCTGCATAATCACTAAAGATGTGCATGTGGTTTCTTTCATTGAAAATTCAGATGATGTCAAATTTAGATTTTTCTTTTCATGATTATGACTAGCATTTTGTGAAAGAATAGCTTGACATTTGGGAAATAAGCTTATTTGCTTTTTGCTGATAGTTAGTGGTATTGATCCTCTCGTGTCACTCATGGCAATAAAAGTGAACAAGCATATATCCCAAAATGTCAAACTATTTCTTTAACTGATTGGTTGTGGGTATAAAAGGAGAAAAAAAGGAGAATAGCATTTTAACATCCAAATAAGTACACATTTTAGGGGTCACCTCCAGGTTTGGTTTGGTCTCAGACTGCTGTTCATTAAGTCTTTTGTCGGTTCTTGCCATTTCCCCAATCTAGTGTTGCATGTGATGTCTTGCAACACAGTAGAACAAGAACAAAAAGCTTGATAAACCAAACTTCATTCAATGTAGCTCACTTTAAGAATCAAACATATTTTCATTGGTGCCACCTCTGCTGCAGTTCACTCTTTTAACGTAAAATATCATTAACACCAGGCTAGGTAAAACATTGAACTCACTCACTAATTAATCTGTTCTTCATAAATTTAAACTGTCTACAGATAAAAACCTGCTGTCTCTTCTTCCCGCTCCCTCTCCAGTGACTACCTGTCCAACAAAACTGCCTGGACGACAGTTTGTTTGGAGCCGCCCGGCGTGGTGTCCTGGCATCTCTCTCTGTTCTCTGTGCTGCTGGTCATGGGTTTAATCCAGATTGCACTGTGTGCTGTGCAGGTGGTGAACGGCCTGCTGGGATGTCTGTGTGGTGACTGCTGTGGCGGGGTCAGTATCTAGTCTGAGATAAAACGGGTTCAGCTGAGTCAATTTGTGAGAAGAATTGGATGAATTTGTAGCAAAATCTACAAACATTTATTTTTATTATTATGGTGATTATGATTATTAGTACTGTTGTTACTAATTATCTATTTTTCTTTCTGTAAAACTGTAGCAATAGTCCATTCAGTCGCTGAAAAGCACTAAAATCACAGACATGAAAGAAACACAGAAGACATAATAGATAGTTTTCTCTTTGTAACATCAATTTTGTGTTAAGTAAGAGAGAGTATTGAAAATGTTCATGTTTGTCTTTCAGGGTGATTGAGCCGTCTGAGCACTTCCTACAGCTGTGAGAGCCAGCAGACGGCTGCTTCTTGTATTTATTCTGTTTTTAGAGGATGACAGTAGTTTCTTGCTTCATGCCATAGCTCTACGTTTTTGCATAAGTGTTCCTCGATTACACTGTATGTATCAACAACACTGGTGAAATGACAGAGCTCTAATTTAAAGGGTTTTCTATTTACTCTCTAGCAAACATTAATGACAGTTTCTTTTTATTATTAAATCTGAATGTGCATTTCTGGCTCTAATTAATTTCTAACACTACTGTATTTAATGATTTTCGTCGTGCTATATATTTTTGAATCAGTGTTTGCCCCTTCAGCTAAGTCAGTAAATAAAGATCCTATTGTTGGTATGCAAAGAAGATGGGAGCATAAGACAGGATGAAACCAAGCTATTGTTTTAAATGTTATTTTTTTTCTTATCCAGTCAAACCTAAACAAAGGCAGCAACTTGTTAGAAAACAACCTTTTAGAAAAATAGATGTTGCATGACTGCCCCCTGCTGGGCATTTTGGTGTTGTAAGCACGAGTCTGATAGGGGTTAAAAGGTCATAGAGATGAACCTATGAGTATCTACAGCATCAATAAAACTTACATCTTACTTCTCACTGACAAATATATGCCGGGGTCCAGGCCTTTGAATCCACCCACTCCACCGGGTTTGAGTCATCTGAAACGGAGTGTAATGAGTTGTCCGTTCTGTCTGATATCAGGCAAAACAATTATTACAATGCTTTTATCCCAAAAATGCTTCTGCAACATACTTCAGTATGGCTGTTATCAATGATGAAAAACAATTGTGCTATGGAGGTGTTTTTTTGTAGGTGTGCCACAGGCCAAATATATTATACTGATTAGTCCATGTAGGAATGGATGTAACTGCCATTGGGCTTTTTTCACTACTCTTGTGTACAGACTTAAATATATATATTGTTTCATGAGGCACTAACTTGTCTGGGGTTTAGTAAAGTATATCTTTCTGTAAGTCTGTGAATGACATAGCAGACAAAACTAATTATGAGCCTAACCTGGAGCCAATTTGATGACCTCTACATCATTTGACATAACACAGTGAAATTTGAAACTTTCTTACCTACAGTTATCCAGACCTGGCCTTAAATGATGACAGCCAGCATGTCACTGTATGATGATGTTCAAAGTATCACTGTATTAAGGCAGCCTATCAATAGTGCTGCAGCACTTCCAGCATTACACCACCTGCAAGTAAACACACACAAATATTACGGTCCTTACTTGGATGTAAGTAAGAGGCTGATTACATACAACAGTTTATTTGCATTGTACCAAAATGAAAAGGGCCAACAGTCCGAACATCAATGTTTGCTTCTTATGTGCGTCAGTGTCAAAGTGGCAGCAGGCTGAGCAAGAAAACCCAAATGTCCTTCTCCCCAGCCACGTCTTCCCTGCCTGTTTCCAGATATTTGAATCCAAAAACTGCAGACCTCCTACCTGAGAAAGATGGTATTGTTAAAGACAGGACAGGCCTACGACTGTTGTTATAATAAAAGAAAAAAGATAGTCAGCTCTCCCTCAGGAAAATAGATCAAAAGGAGAGAGAGAGATAATTTACACTGTTAAGTGACCTGCAGGAGAATAAGGGACTCTGGGTTTCCACCAGCGACTTCTTTGCCTAACAATATTTGAAGGAGCAGTGGTTCTCCTCTGAGCTCCCTCCGTATGTCTGAGCTCCTCACGCTGGTCCTGAGGGTGAGCACAGACACACTGTGAAGAGCTGTCATTTTGACTGCTTGAAGCTCAAAGCTCATTATCGCTGCAGGGAACTAAATTACAGCTGGAATGTAGGTTGACTACTTAATTGGGGGCCTTGACTTTAGGCTCAAAGGCTTGGTGGGAAAATAGTGAAGCTCCACTCCGTTAATATTCACATTAAGCAACTATAGGTGTAAATGAAGTGATGTAAATATTTCCCTCCAAACTGTAGTGGAGTGTAGTGGAATTATAATGTACAAAATGATAAAACACAAAGTACCTCACTTAAGAACAGCACTAGCTAAGTATTTCATTTTTCTGTACAATTAAGTTTTTAGCTCTGTCATGTCTGACTCAACAGAGTTGGTAATGCAAAGAAGGCTGAAAGATATTCATCGAACAGGTAACAGTTTTCCTTTCAAAAATTAAACAGCTTAAATGATGTGTGAAATAATTCTACATAAATGATGTGCTTGCAGAACTACACCGTCCACTGTCCAAATAGAGCTGTGTTATTTGTATGTTTGTGTGACAGACAGCGTTGCCCAGAGAGACAAACTGCAACTGTGAAAACATGACAAGGTGTGAAAAAAGTGCTTCTTACTTTTCCCTCGCTGGGAAGCGGCAGAAGGGTGGAGACACAGAGGGATCAAGACAAAACCATTTTTTTCATGTATTCAAACCACAAGCTCAAAATTGAATTAATGTTTTTTTTTTTTAATATGTCTTTTATGTTAATCTTTACTTTCTATCCCATATAATATTCATTTTATAAACACTATTTTCTTGTATTTAAATTGAGTGAATTGGCCTTCAGACGTATTGGTGATTTTTGCTGCATATTTAGGTAAAATAAAATAATTATAACAATTTGGACTGATTAATTGGGCATGTTAATTGATGAACTAATGTCTCCAGTTCGCCACTATTTTCTTCGAAACAGTCCATGGAAACAAGTAACGTTTTTCATTTATTATTTTCTTCACTGTGTTCTCGTGGAACCATAGATTCAGGACGCTTCTTGGCGAACACGGAAGAAATAAACCGCGTACCGACGTGTTTCGCCCGTTTCTCCGCTACTAGCTGGTTGACCCCGGGGAACTGCTAAACACCGTTTGAAGTATGATGTTTTCATCCTGAGACGGAGGTAAATATGGTTCCCGTGTTTCAGGGCTGTGAGTGCATATTGTCAGCCACGTGCTAAGAAGGCTTCAGCGGTGTAACGTTAGCCGTTAACTCGGTAACGGTGTCGTTCTGTCGGTTATCTTTATAAAGCAGCACTTGTGTTCAGTCGTTACATTTGTATTTGTTTATGTATTGCTGTAGCTGTTCTGTGTATCTGTCTGAGCTGTAGTTGCAGTTAGCTGCCCCCGGTACTTTAACATCAACATAAGCAGTGAAGGTAAACACAGTGATGACAGACTGGTTCCTATTCCAGCTTCATGTGTTAGATTTGACAGAAAAACAAAGACTGTCTGTAAAAGTATTGCATTCAAATTTTGACACGGTTTTTTTTTTTTTTTTTTTTTTTTATATATATATATATATATATAGTTAAAATAACCATTAGTTGCAGCCCTAATCTATTTTAAATGTTATGGTTTTTACTCGTAATTTAATTTGCTAATCTTTTCTTAATTTTGAGTGAAATCTTTAATGTTTTTTAATTTTCTTTCATTTTTGTTTTCAGATGATGATCTCTGTTGTATTAAGAAGCAGCCTTTCAGCCCAGAAGGTAACACACTATTTGTGATTTAGTTTCTCATTTTAAAACTGAAACGTATTTTATGTGCTGATATGAATGTCTTGTCTGTAGGCGTGGCATTGGGCAGGTCCTTCACAGAGATGCTGGACATCAGCCCTGAGCTCAAGGCTGCTGTTCTCAGAAAGGGACGACGGACGAGTCGGACCTCCTGCTCGCCTCAGTTCCATGAGCGCAGAGGTCTTCCAGAGGAACCGGATGAGTGCGGCTCCGTTTTTAGTGAGGAATCAACATTTCCACTCCTCTGCTGTGAGGCTGAAGAAGCGACCGCAACTTGAAGCTCCCAGAGAGCTGCATCTGTTGCGCTACGACATGAAGGACTTGTGGAAAAGTCCCAAACCGGCTCTGTACCTCGGGTTTGCAGGACTAATCCCCTTCATTGCCCCCACGCTGCTCATGGCTGTGACGGAGAGCTACTTCCCAGAGTTGGCCTACGCTCAGTTAGCTTACGCCGCCTCGATCGTTTCCTTCCTGGGTGGAGCTCGCTGGGGATTTGCTCTTCCTGAGAGCAGCCCAGCCAAACCCGACTGGATCAATCTGGCCAACAGTGTGGTTCCCCCCCTGTTAGCCTGGGTGGCTATGCTGATGAGCGACAACATTGTTCCCGCAGCCACCATGGTTATTATGGGACTAGGAATCTCGCTGCATTACGATCTGTCTCTGCTGCCCACTTACCCCAGCTGGTTCAAAGCCCTTCGCTCCATCCTGACCGCCGTGGCATTTTTTTCTCTCATTGGTACGCTCATAATTAATGGAATATACCCAGAAAAAAAGCTGTTGTCAGATTAAATAGTATGTATATAAAATGATAAAGCCACAATGTTTTTATGTTGGTGATCTTATTTCTTGGTATTGGACGTTTCCTCCTCTCTTCTGTCTCAATCACAGGTCTGTCTGGTGATAATCTGAACAGGAAGCAATAACATAATCCTGTCCCCAGACGGCTGTACAGCACGTTTCCTCATCGGGGCCTCGCTTTGAAGCCTCTGTGTAGAAGTTGTCTGTTAGTCCATCATGAAATTGTTTTTGGTCAGTTATTTGACACAAACACGCGGAGTTGCCAGAATCAGAATTATGAATGCCACACTTTAGAAGACCTGACAAAAATGAGGAAGTTCTTGCTCAATGAATATCAAATAAATGCATTTCTCATCAACATAAGTACTTTGGACACTTACATTGGTGATTATTCAGAAATCAAAATCATTATCAAAAAGTATGTTTCAAATTACTAAACAGGAACTGAGCAGGTGAAGAGCAATTTTCTTTCAGTCCGTCCTTTTTAGTTTAATGCTACAAATTAGCGGAGCCACGTTGTCCTTTTACACGGCCGGGATCAGACGGATAAAGTCAGGAAGTAAAGTGGAGTAATCTGTGCTTAAAGCCTCGGGTCAAATGCAGACCATCACATTACACAACACACAAGGCTCCAGTGAACTCTTGTACTCCGTTCAGAATACATCTGGGTTTGCAGTACAAGTTTTCAGATTGAACAACTTTTGAGATCACAACCGATTCATTACTTGCCTCGATATGTTGGACCAAACATTCATGACGGAGATCGAAGGTATTCAGTCAAATGCAAACATTACATTTCAATCACTGTAAGCTGAAAACAAATGCACTAAAAACGTCTCACTTTTGTATTCAAATGTCTTTATTACTGTAAACACCAGCATCTAATGAACCAAGTATTGGATAGAAAGGCAAATAGAGGGTGAGGTCCATAGATAAGGCACATGAGTCCCATTCACCAGACTTCAACAAATAGACACACCTGTCTCAAACATACCAGAACGTCAACCACCAAAGTATTGCACTTTAAAAGTTTCCTCAGATTTCTTGGTGAAACAGCTCCCCACTCGCACAATATCACACAATATTTTGAGAAACCGTAAACAAAGCTGAACGAGTGTTTGTGAGGGAATGGAAGATGTCGATTTTAGATGTAAAGAAAGCAAAACAAGTATGGAACTTAGAGGAACATGTGACATAACAGGACCCATACTTAAAATAAACATTTTGACCCAAATCAACAATTAAACAACACAAAACAGAATGTTTTGAAATCAGAATGAACCTCTCTAAGTGTTTTTTGGTTTTTCAGATTCTTAATATCTACTTCTTTGGTTGATTAAAGTGAAAGTCGGTCGATCCAAACTGGGCCCCAAGACTGATAGTGCAGAACTGTGGGTGCAACACAATTTACACAAAGTCTTACAAATCATTACAAGCCCTTTGTGAATACTGAAGACTTTTCAAAACTATTCTTTTATAATGGCTCAACAGTTTACTCAAAGTCCTGCAACGACTCCATCTGCAGTGCTTTGAGTCTTTGGTGACCGACAGGTAAACAAGCTCTTTACATGACAGTTTCCCTAATATCTTAGTAAGTGACGTGTTTTTGAAACAATAAAAAGAAACCCTGCTCATCACTGTCACGGACACAGACGACTCCGCTGCCTACTTCTGGATACCCAAACTATCCCTCATGTTCTCGTACACCACGTAGCTGATGCTGACAGCCGGTATGACCTTCATGAAATTGGGCAGGATGCCGCGGTAAAGTCCAAAGAAGCCTTCCTTTTGCAGAATCTTCTTCACCATCAGATTCATGGGCAGCTGCTCTGAGCCCTCGAGAGACGCTGAGAAACAAAGAGAGACATACCAGTGTCAGATAATGTCAGTGCTTTAATTTAATGTACAAGTATGTATTAGACCTCGAGTAACCACCCAGGGAATGCCAAAGGTATATTTCCATTTATTAATCACAGTCAATCTCTCAAAGTTTGTGAGCCATCTTTGAACCCATTATGAATCCGTCCCCACACTGCTGTCCCAAAAAACTGTGGGAAGGAAAATCTTTATGAACCTTTGGATATAACTTGCAATAACCAGTCATTCTTGGCCACTTGGGGGCAGCAGAAACAAGCTGTAAGCTGAACGTAAGTCTACTTTTCACCTTCCTTCTAGCCCTGCTTTTAGTCTCCACTAACTCCTGAAGGATATATCAGGCTCTTTAGCCGCCAAATGCCTCACAATGCTCATCAAATCTTTGCTAATTTAGTTTGAGTGTTGTTTGGTGCTGGGCAGGTATACGTGCACAGTGTGTTTTTGCATCTTTATTTGCTGAAACAAGCTGCTTGCAAAACAGTAAAGCTGCAGGAAAACCAACACAATGACGTTATGTTTCACGCAATGTTAACTCAGTCTTTACTTTAGCTACGGTAGTGCAGTGCCTTTCAGTGGTCATTTCTCTATTCATTCACTACACTTTGTGTAAATCCTTCTGGATAAGATCATGGGAGCAATGCTGACAGATGCCACAAGTTGACAGAATTTGAAATGGATTTCGGTTCTCTGTACCTTGAGCCTGCATCCTGGTGCGGATCAGAGCTAGAGGGTAGCTGGCCAGCTGGCCACACGTGCTGGAGAGAGTACCACAGCCAAGCAGCACCAGAATGCCAGGGTTAGCGGTGTCTTTAGCGTAGTGGGACAACCAGAGGTTCTTCAAGCTCTGGTGAGGACAAGGAAGTGTTTGTGTGTGAGAAAGGAGTATAAGTTGTATTTCACAGAATCAAAACGTGACATCTATAGTAAAACATACCAAGTGGAAATCCCTCACTGCTTCCAATGACAGAGGATGTTGCATATGGAAGTGGAGCTTTGTATGCACATTTTCCACGTACCTCGTACACTGCCAGATCGATGCCAGCGTAGGGGATGATGCCCAGAAGATTGGGAACATAGCCCTTGTAAAACGCCTTCAGTCCCTCCTTCCTCAGGATTTGCTTGGCACAGTCAAACATTCCCGAGTACTGTCCGGTCTTCCTCAGGGTCAGGCGGGTTTTCATCACCTGCAGGGGTCCAAAGAGTTTAAGCGAAGCTGTTCTTCACCTGACAACACTTCTACTGATGCTTTGTAGCAGTCAGCAGCTTCACAATAAGAAGCAAGCGTCTATTGATAGATTATGTTATCATTTTGAAAAATCAAGGGGAAAAGGGAACCTGCATGACATTCCGTAAAGTCACATTGTTTTACTTTGCTCTTTATTTTCAGGTTAGACTGAAATAAGGCAGGATTTATTTAAGGTGAAAAATAATGTTCACAGGACAATTAATATAGACCAGACAACCTTCGTCATCAAAGCTATATGAAAATACATATTCTCTAACCTGATGCCACTCTTAACACTCAGCTATCAAACAAACACAGATAGACCTGTACGCGCCTCCACCTCCGCTCACCTCCATGGGGTAGATGACAGTTTGTGCTGAGGCTCCAGCCAGCGATCCGGCCATGAACCTCTCGTGGATCTTGACCTTCCCTGGTTCACTGGACAGCAGCTTCTTAAACTAATGAAACACAGCGATAAGGGAGCATTGCATCACAACTCAATGACTCTTGAGGACCGTTTCAGTAGTGATAAACTTCGGCGGAAATTGCATCTTGGGGCCAATATTATGACAGTGTGTACTGTAATCATTTACCTGCTCATAGGCCATAAATTTAATGGCCGTCTCGGGGGCAATCTTCAGTACATTGATACCGTTTCCTCTCCACAGAGACGCCGTGCCTCCTTCTTTTACCATCTGCTTAAAACCACCAACCAGGCTGATTTTGTTGCTCTTGGAGGAATGCACCTGTGCGTGAAAAAAACCTGCATTGTAGATCATTACTTTAAAAAGTAAGTGCATTTATAAAGTATTAAAGGCAGCATTTAAGCTCCATTAAATACAATTACAAACAGGTTAACCCCCTTTAACTATTTTCCCTTTTGCCACATTATCTACTGTAACAGCATCTCCACATTCTATTGTAATTCTGTAGTATGTATGATCATATGTGAGATTATCCTTTTGTGATGCCACATGATACAGCATATTACTATACACATACGACCAGTGTTAACTTTGCACCCTGCTTTAACTACACCATGTTTTTGATTGGTCTGAACGTTGCCTTTGAGTAAATTTCATGACCACTGTAAATAAAAAAAAATAACATATAATAAAATATATATTGTTAAAAATGTGATTAATTTAGAACATATGACAGACAACTAATAAAACATTTTTTTAAGCGTTTCACACACCTGCATGAACACCTTCATCCTGTCCAGCGGGGCAGTTCCTGTACGGGACACGGCGCCGGCCATGGCCCCCGCTGACAGCTGCTTCCACCACATGCCCGTTGTCTTCTCCTCCTCTGTGAACTCATCTGGGATGGAGAGGCTGTCCCCAATGTCCAGCACCTACACACAACACAATATATACAAATCACAGTCAGAGACATGTTTCAAATACTGTGTGAATTGTGTCTAGTTTCTAAACAAGGAGCTGAGATTCTTCAAAAACTTCTCAGGGCCCTGCTGACTCTCACACTGATAAATGCTGACTTACCGCAGAGCCAAAATAGACCTGTGTGACTTTCACTAGAGCTTTGTATCGTTTCAAATATCATTTCAAGCCCATGGAAGTCTGCATTTTATATATTATATTTAAGTTAATTCCAAAGCTTCGTAACTGAGCGATTAGCAGCCTCGCTGCCCTCAACTTAATTGCCTTGCAGGACTGGACAAACAGAATGTCCTTATCCACAGGCTTACATAACTACACGTTCATGCTGTGAGATCAATTGTATAACTGCACGGCACAAACCGGTTGTTTCATACGACAATATGAAATTAAATGTAGTTCTGTCTCACTTTATCTGAGTTCAGACAGATAAAAGAAAGCTGTGGACGAATCGTAATGTGAAGGCTTGCATTGATGATTCATTTAGAGTAACATATTGTCTTGTGCTCAGACTACTCCAGACTACTGGTGCTACAGAACTTTCTGTCAAACCAGCATCGACATCACTTTACTCTTGAGCTGAGACTGCAAATGGAGTGAAATCTGTCTTCCTATAGATGCAGTGCAAACCAACATGAACATATGTACAATGTAATAAAACAGTTCACAATATTACAGCAAGGAACACAAGCTTTTTGAAACTTACCTTATGTATAATCGAGATGTGGCGACTTAACGGAGGGACAAAATATGAATGATCACCTTAAAATATAGTTGAATTCAATGCAACTGCTCCTGAACACCTTGGTCTCCCAGTCTCAACAAAAACTGAACATTACATGTTGTTGTATTGGAGTGAATCAGAATAGCTCATTTAAAAATGAAACAATATACAAGCTAAAGGACTAAGGAAGGATATAACATAATATAAGTAAAGACACCCCTTACATTTTGTTAATATAGAATTGTGTCAAGGATATGTAGTGAATGGGACATTTTACAGTGGGAAAAAAGACAGCGCTCTCTAGTGGACAACGTGAATAATGGCAAGACTATTTCTTAATTACCATAAACACATAATTTCTGCAATTTCTTGAAATTTATGGGCCGACTGACAAAATCGACCACGCAGATGTATAAAACCAAGTTTACACAACAACCTGGAATGTGAAGCCAAAAACCCAAACCCACCATGTCCACCTCATAGATCCCCCCGTCATCGATGACAAACCAGTTGCCCTGTTGCTGCTGCTGCTGCTGCTGAGGGTGCAGCAGAGCCATGGCCATCTCAAGCCTTTGATCACGCCGCCGATCCAGTGCAATACAGTCCCAGTGTTGTACGAGCTCCCTCCTAAACTCTTATTTCCCAGACAGATCAGGATCCTGAACATAAAATGGCCAGTGAGACGTCAAGGGTCGGCAGATCCAATCCACAGCACGAGTGGAGAAACACCGAATCCAGAGTAGCCAGTAACCATCGACGTGAATCCTGGAGATGGTGGGAAGCTCTCCTGTCCTGAACTCTAGATGCACGTCCTCCCTCAGTGACCTGTCCACTTCCCACTGACAAACTAATCCACCTGAAATTAGCTCATGTCCGGCTCAGTTTAGCAGCCACAGGTTTATTTGACCTTACCAGTGAATGGACGCAGCTAACGTCAGAGATTAGCCATTGACTGGAGTGTCTCTGGCATGCAACCATAGTAAAGTATATGAAGCCAACTGTCTACATGTGAAATGTCAGTTAAAACACTAGGGTTTGAATATTATTTGTTGCAAACCGTTTAAGGGTGATACATTGTGTTTGATATTCATGTTCATAAACTATTTTGACTAAATTTCTAAAACGGGACCAGGAGGATCTCACTTGGTGTGATGAATAAATTGACTTGAGAAATATTGTTTTGGTGCCACTTCTAGACGACCTCTTGTTCCAAGCAAAGGTAATCATGAACAGGTTGAGTCAAGCTTCTTTCTCCTCCTCCTTTTCTCACCTCTTCTCTGGAAATGAATGAGTCCAACCTGTTGACGGGGAGGTACTGATCTGTTGCCAAAGTTCTCATCCAAATCCAACACCAGCTGACAACAGCCTAAAACAACTTTCCCTTAAAGCACAATGGTTCTTAAAGCGACGGTTGGGGCAGTCAAAGGACATGAAGAAGGTTAACTGTTTGGCCTCTAAGTCTCTTCTCTTGAATTTCTAATGAGTGCTTTATTTTTCTATGTGAGAGCATCCAAAACAAATACCTTTAAAGTATTCACCAGCTCCATTCATTCAAACCAAAAGAGACATTAACAATAAGCTGAAGATATTTTAAAGCTTTAAAGTTTGGTCCACGACATGACAACAGATCGTATCTTACTAATATACTTTAATATTCTCAGTTGAACTTATTTTCTTTTGTCTCCATCTTTGGTTGTAAGTGGCAACCCCCCCCCCCCCCTTACCGTAGAGTGCTTCCAGTAGCGGACAATCTCCTGCAGGTTGGTGGCTGGGTTGAACAGGAAATGCTCCCTCCATTCATTCCAGTCTAAAGTCATGGTGCCGTCCACATCGATACTGTACAAGGAATGACAGAGGATAAATAATAATAATAATAATAATAAACGGTCCAATTAAGACTTAAGTAACTGGGCCCACGTATTGGCTTATATGTGCAAGAGTGATTTGTTTTTTGTATTTCAGTGTTGGAGGGAGAAACCGCCAACTAGGGTTGGACACTAAATTATCGAATTTTAGGAAATGTGTATGTTTTACTGACCTAAACTTACAGATTTAGCATTTCTTTCTAAATTAGTTTGGCCTTTTTCATTAGAAGAGAGCTGACAGCAACTGATAGAGAGAGAAAGAGAGAGAGAGAGGTGTGGGATGACATTAATCAAGGGCCTTCAACCAGGGTCTTTGTGATTACACGGTCAGCGACTTAAACTGCAACGCACCAAGACTAATTTTGCAATTTTCAATGAACACTGAATAACGAACAAAATAAGAACGGACAGTGACATCTAACCAGAAGTTGAAGCAACCGATCAATCTGCTGTCCAGAATCTTTAACGGGTCATAGTTGATCGGGACAAACAAAGAACACATGGAATGAAATATCAGGCACTAATACATATTTTGATGTTTCATATTTGAGAAGATTAGATAAAAGTCACAGTTTATCTTCACGTCTCATGATCAAGCTCTCCACCAAAGAAAAGGTCCCACTGTACTAGGAACAATGCTGATACTCTATTCCAGATCCGTTCACTTTCTAGACCGATTAAGCTCCTCCTTACTCCTGTTCAGACAGTCAGTCAGTCAGTCAGTGAGAGAGAGAGAGAGAGAGAGACTAATGTCAACGGATAGTGGTGGTGAGGGAGCATGCAAACCAGAAGTAGATCACAAGTTACATCATTCAAACCGCCGCCAAATTAATATAAAACAGTAAAAAACTTTTAGCCTAGATTTGGTGAATTTCTAAATAAGTTAGCAAACAAAAATGGAGTAACTGAAATATTTCTGAGCTTATTTTTAGTACACAAAAATAAGGAAACCAAGTGTCTCCCGTGTGGTCTCTGTCATGGTCAATCTCCGTCCTCGTCTGCTCTGAATGTGCATCTTCCAATTCATTTCCTTCCTCCATGTCAGTGCGGCTGGCTGACACACTCATCAATTACTCTCTGTGGCTTTCATGTGCATGACTGATTGACAGTCATGCACATCCTGCTTTACTTCTCTTTCTAGGTCTCTCTATAATGCGTGCTCCTGTACTTCTGCTGCTTCTCACTTTGACTATGCAAATACAGAACATGCAGTAGAGCTCACTGCGTCAACCTGGTCTGACGAGCAGAGCAAAGAACAGCAAATACGTGTTGAACAGGATCCAATTCAGTGTAATGTGTTGATGTCAAACAGGCTCCTTCATTGGTGGTGAAATAGTATTTTCTCGAACATTTCCACGCTTTTCTACCTTAAAATGTGACCACATTACATTTAATGTCTATTTTGTTGTTTTCGTGAAGAATGATGACGCATAGGCCTACACTGTAGATCCCAGAGCTTTGACTTAATACTGTTGCCTGTAAGACACAACATGGTGGCTTCTTGCCATTAACTTTGAACTTCTTGTCCTAACATGTACATTTGACTGTCGAATTTTGAACAACATAGTATATAACTGTATGGATGCCCTGCTAAAAATATTGACAAAGAATATCAAGAATAATCAAGGAAACCTTGCAAATTAATGCAAAAATCACATGATAGAAATGCTTCTTCCAGGGAGTACAACATGCCTGAAAAGTACCAACTGACGTTAGCCTACATTAGCTTAGCAAAAACGAGTAGCCATAGTATTACAATTTGGCATTTTTTTACTAAACCAATTACAACTACCAACAAGTCATACCTTCAAGGACCTTAATGTATTGTCACATATAATGAAAAATAAAGGCTTAACTGCCGCGGCACCGCTCCCAAACAGTGGCAGCTGCCACAACTTGCCGTGGCAGGAAGTGCCTCTACTAGCTGCCTGCCACATTTTGAGCTTGCCCTTTCTCCAAAACTTTAGAGAAAACTCTAAATGTTGGGATTCGTCAGTCAGACGTCTCGCCAGCTCTTTATCATGTGGCTCCGTCAGCACCAGGCCAGGTCTCAGGCTGATCTGCTTATCAGTCCCTCACACTGGTCCCCTCCTTTAACATCTTTCTTTCACTTCTAGTTAAAGGTTCGTGAGGGTTATGCTTGGATCCAGGAACAAGACTTTTAACTCTCACCTAACTCTTTACAGCACACCAAGTACTGCAGAGAGGCCTTCCTATATTGTTAGCAGCTACAAAATAAGCAGACACACCTATGAAGGATCTTCTGCGCCTCCTCTTTGCTGATGTCCATTCCTAGATCGGCAAGTGACTGCTTTATCTCCATAAAGTCCACACGACCTGTTGAAAATATGAATACACAGTACAATCCCCAGCATTTAGTTTGACTCTTAAGGTAAATCTTCAGCATTGATGAACTTAAAATGTTGCCTAGATAAAATAATTACAGCATACCATCATTGTTTTTGTCCAAGCTCTTGAAGGTAAGTCGTAACTTCTTCTCGTGTTCCTTTAGGTACTTGGAGAACTCGTTGAAGTCGAGCCCGTCATCTTTGTCTTGGTCTCCAGAGGAAATGATTTTCTAAAGAAAACACAGAACATTAGAAATCCAGTTTCTTCACATCATAGCGTATGATAGTCTGTTGGCTGTCTGACCCCCTCACTGAGTGGTGGGAGAGGTTTTGGTCAATTCTGCCATCTCTTCATCTTTTCACACAGCGGCTGCTTGATTCTGCCAGTTTGTGGCCGACTGTTTCTATATTTCCTGCTTTGATTTTATTCAGTTACATCTGAATTTAAATCACGTTGTACTCATTTGCAATGTGCTATTTAAATAAAGTTCTGTTCTTGTTTTGCAGAGGGATCATCTAAGATAAAGAGAGAATTTACACTACTGAAAGTGCACACAACAATGTGCTGATTCAGGATCAGTTCCTCGGAGGATAAACTGAAACCTGGACCTCGGTGGTGCTATTGAACGGTCTCAAGAGTCAGGAGCCACGTGGGTGCACTCCACAAGAAAATGAATCAATGGAAAGAAAAAAAAGCATCAAGAGCTGAATTATAGACACAACTAACCGAACAAGGCATTTGGAAAAGCAGCCAGTGCGCATGTTTATTATATATATCATTATCACATAATTGCACAGATATGGAAAGCGCCTGTTTTACAGCACCTGGAATCAATGACCTCTCCTAAGCTTCTTTTCCTGACTCATACTTTTACAGCCATCACACTCACTGATGAGCGTGAGGAATGTAAGAGTATTTGATTGGCAAAAGGTGGGACCTTCCTCTTTGAGTCAGCCCACAATAAAAGCTCACCTGCACCTACAGTTTGAATTGAGACAGTTTCAGACATTCTGGTGCACCTGCTCTTCATCTGCTCTGTACCAGCCTTAGACTGCTGTTACTTTGTGTAGAGAAACCAGATATGATTTATTTTTTTTAGTGCTGGGCAAATTAACGCGTTAATTTCGCGTTAACGCATTAATCAATTAACGCCGACAATTATTTTATCGGCGTTAACGCATTTTTTAATTTTAATTTTATTTTAAAAGTCCGTTGCTCACTGGCCGCAGTGGAGGAAGTCTGATGCAGGGTGTGGGAGAAGTATAGTTAGATAAACAAAAGCAAGACAAGCTAACAAAAGCCACAGAGAAGTGGATACAAACTGCAGCAGATTAGTATTGATTAGTATTCGTGTTGCGTTTGGTGTGAACGCACCTTTAGGATCTCAACGAATGACGGCATGTATGAGCCTCAAAAATGAGCTAAGAAAGTTAGCGGAAAGATTAATGTGAGACAACATCCGGTTTCTTCAGACGAACATCCGGTTTTCAGAATACGATATTTCAGAATAAGATAAAGTATGAATTATATTCACATTAAGTATAAAACATGCTGCATATCGTGAGTTAAAGGGAAAATACACCTAAATTGTGGGTAAAGTGTCTTTATTCTTTGATCGCTGGGTCACCATCACCTCTGAGTTACAGCATTATATTGATGAACAGTAGAGCTGCATTCACATGCTCTGACTGTCATGAAGACAGACATTTTTGCTGAAATGTGCTGAAACATGTTATTCCTGTTGCACAGCAGTGGAACGTTTCACATACAGTCACACACTGAGCACAGATAGAACTGCTACTGTGTAAAGAGAATACTGCTGTTAAAAATAACCTTATTTGTTTAAAGTGTTTACAAACCAAATGGTATTGCCCTTTTGTTCATACAGCAGTACTTTTAAAATAAAAGTGCGCAATACACTACTTTTGAATTCATTATTGAACTTTGCCATAACAATGCGATTAATCGCAAAAAATCCATGCGATTAATCGCAATTAAAAAGTTGAATCGTTGCCCAGCACTACTTTTTTTACTATCAGGGGGAAACGTGAGAAAATCCTGAGGGAAATGAGACTCAAATTGAGGTTCTGAAACTCTCTTGTGGGAAGTTCAACATGTGTATTTAGATTTAAATCAGATTATAAAAACTTCATCCAATATTTGATTTAATCCCTTATAAAAAAAAAACTAAAGCATAATCAAAAGATTAACTATAAAGAAAATATGTTTTAGCTGCAGACCTGAAGTGAAACACACAATAAAGTACCATGTATATAAAAACGTTACTCTGGGACAGTAAATGAGTCACTTCCTCTGAGGCCTGTACTTTATTGTTAGGGTTACTCCGGGTGAAAGCAGACTAATTGCAATTTGCAGCCTGGTCAGTTCCTTCAGGAATGCAGCAACAGCAGACAACACATGTCTCTCCTGCTATGCGGCCTGTATGCGACTGGTTACTGTGTCCGTGGCGCTTCCTACCTGAGCTGCTCCTTTCGCGGTTTTGATGCCCATCGCAGCCAGGCCCGCCTTCAGCTCGAACACGTCCACTTTGCCATCCTTGTTGGTGTCCAGCTTGGCGAACAGATCATCGTACACTTTCGACGCATCGCCGGCGCACCGGCAGTCCGTAAAGAACAGCTTCCTTGCGACTTGATACATTGTTGAAGTGAGAACGAAAAACCACTCTGCACACAAGAGACCAAATCGGGCAATTAAATTGCTGTGGAAACACACACGCACAACCCCGATGCCTGTGGCTGGCACTTCTGGTTTGGAGCAGCAGGATTTCAGAGAGGTTTCCGCAGTGCAGCTTGGAGACGAAGTCGCAGCAGAGCCCTCATAAATTAACGCGGTAAAGAATCCGGTAAATTAGGCTTCACGTAGATTTAAAGAGGGCTGTTTGCGGATGAGGTAGGTTGACTGCGTTGAGCAGAAGGGTGGGGACACTTGGTTTAGTTCGCCCGAAGACCTCCTTTTTTACTACGTACAGAGACACACCCTTCAGCAGGGTCAACACAGGCTGAGGCTAGTATTTCATATAAGAGCCTACACTATTATTCATGAGCAAGATTTTACTTCCTGCTTTTTCCAATTTATCCAAAGTTATCCTTTCTTATGGGTTTGCGGTGTAACATCCCTCTAACACGCACACATACACACGCACACATGCATACATGTAGTAGTCTACCCAGAATAGCCTTTCGTCCAAATCCGAGCGGGCTCCAGCAGTCTGATTCAGTTTAGTGAGTCATACCCACAGGAATCTGGCAGCAGGAATCCAGGGAAAACATGCCCCCCACACTTTTTTAATGAGGCTTCATTGCTTTGAAGACGAAAGAGGCAAAGAGATGGATATGGAGAGGAGGAGTGGGAGACGATGGTTGTTCCGCGGCTACTTTAGGAAGACTTTGCACCTGGTATGCTGCAGACCTCATGAGCTTTACGTCGGGTTAACCTCTTAAATCCTCGGTTTGCATCGATGGTCTTTACAAACTCATGTTGTGCACAAAATAACTTCTAATAAAAATATCAAATAGTCTTTCTTGTGAATATTCAAGGTTCAGCTCTATTTTCATAATAGTACAATACAGCATAGCCCCCTCCACACTACACACACATAAACGCATTAACAAATATTTAAATAAAACAGAATACTCAATAAATTAGAACAATGTATACATCTGCACTAATGTGTGTAATACCAGTGTAATTGTGATTTATATAAATGATAGTGCAAATTGAAAACTTTGGATATTGTGGGGGTAGTGAAAGAAAATGGCTTGAAAAATGTCAAGTTTAATAAGATTGTCATGTCACTGCCTTGATTGTACCACGAGATGGCGACAAATATTACATAACAGCAGCTGGTTTCACTTCGTTGTTGTAATCTGTCCAATCGGTGCTGCTGTTGCTTTCATTGACCGCAAGGGGGCGACGGAGGGAAGAGGCGGGCTTTAATAAACTCCCATTAAGTATTTTGTCAATACTGCACATCCGTTTAATCCTGATCTATTTCAAAATAAAAAGAGGGACACGTTTCAGTCTAAATGACATGAATCCAGTTTTAGAAAGTATCTAAGTACATTTTCTCAAGTACTGCACTTAAGTATAATTTTGAGATACTTGTACTTCACTTGAGTATTCAATTTTATACCACGTCATTTTAATCCACTACATTTATTTGTTAACTTTAGTTATTGCTACTTTGCAGATTGAGAATAATGATACGAAATATAATCAACAAAAAAAAAGTATTATTAACGAAAGTTCAGTCAATATTTGTGAACACAAGCTACTCTAAAAGCCAGAAACCAGGTTAGACTCAAACGTTTGATGTCATTCAGTATAACGTATGGAGCTACTCCATAGACAATATATAGGAGACTGATTTTGTGGACCCACAGAACATTTCTTTTCTTTTCTATACCCAAATGAACTTAAATCTATTGCAGTGTTCGCAGTTCTGACACTGAAAATGTCCCATAAACTCAGTATTCCTCTGGGTGCTCTCATACAGCGTCTTTCCCAATTCAGTTTCAGATTTTATTCTCGATGACTTCAAAAAATTGAGTTTTATCACTCTGGTTTTGGGATTTATTGTTTACTAAAGTTTTTGAACTGTTGTAGATCATACAGTATATAGGCATAACGTTTTGTTGTGTTGTGTATCATTTTGAGGTACTTATACTGTACTTAAGTATTTACATTGTATGCCTCTTTCTACCTCTACTCCTCTACATTTCAGAGGTAAATGTTGAACATTTCATTCCACTACATTTATTTTATAGCTTTAGCCACGAGTTAAATTAAAGATTGTTATTATTAATCCCAAATATCAATCAACTCATGAATTATGATGTATAAGTATAGCTTAAACTACCCAGCAGTATATAAGGTAATTAAAATAAACTCAAGCGTTACCAGTTGCAACATTAATTGATGTACACATGAATCCATCAGTAACTATTACCCATATACGAGTTATTCTGAGTTGTGCCATTATGATGAGTAACGTTTGATGCTAATACTTAAGTCCATACTTCGTAGTGTTACTATTTTTATTCAAGTAAAATATCTGAATACTTCCTCCACCACTGGTGTTTTCTTTAAAGTAGGTTTCAAAGCATACACTTTTATTTTGAAAATCCCCAAGAGGAAGTAGCTCTTCTTCGTTGCCTCGGTTCGTCTTCGTCTCTGATTTGACTGTTGTCACCAGCATCTTCACCATCCTCCCACAGCACAACACTGTATCTGAACTGCAACACAATGGGGCCGTAATGACAGCGACGAGCGAGATAAGAGCGTCTTCTCGAGAGTACTGAACCGGTGTATGGATTTAATGATGATGAAGAAGAAGAAATTCAAGTTTAAGGTGGATTTTGAGCTGGACGAGCTCTCGTCTGTCCCCTTTGTCAACGGTGTCCTCTTCTGTAAAGTCAGGCTACTGGACGGCGGCTTCTCCGAGGAGTCTTCACGGTGAGGCTTGTCTGCTGTTTATACAGTCATAAACACACCGAGTGTGCAACGTCAATGGCTGTCTTTAGCGTGTAGATGTCTTCTAGCTGAGCAGCTCTAGCCACAAGCTAACGTGGGCTAGAAGCTGGCCCACGTCAGTCACTTGTATGCGCTTTAACGGCGCTTTCGCTTGTTCACATTCATCGTCACCTTCCAGTCAAAGCTAGTGACTGAGGCTGAATAGTACCCGACATGTTAAAACCTGGTAAGAACAAACTTATTAAGCACGAGTGACAAGACAGTGCTCCTAAATATCCTCTAACGTTAGCTGAGTAGCTTTACATTTCACAAGGTGTGTAACTTTAACTTCCTCGTGGGATTGATTACTGCGCTATAAGGAGCCAGCTGACCTGTCGCATACATACAACTGTCTATTGTTTAATCAATAGAGTCATTGATATGTCTCGCCCCTGTTATCACTGAAGTAGGTGTTTGATTAACACCATGTTTGTGTCCCACGAGGGCAACTGAAACTGTAAATTAGTTGCCCACTCTATAGGGTTTTTTAAAAGTAAACTGACATAGTGAATGCTAAATGACATCCATGTTTGGCAAGACAGGAAACTACCCTATACCCATTATTGACCCGGGAGTCCACAGAAGTGTCACACTAATGCAATTATTGCTGTTAGCAAATACAGTCATCCCCTCTGTAGTTTGGTGCTTTTTAGTTAAAGTGGCTTCTATCACTCGGTGCCCTTTTTCATTATTATTTTCATCATTTATTAATGCAGAATTATTATTTTGATTAGTCATTTGATCTAAAATATGTCAGAAAATGCCCATGAATGTCCTTTTTTTTCCAAACAACAATCTAAAACCCATAGATATTTATATTAAATGAACTATAACGCATAAAGACGGTGATATCCTCTGTCTGTGTCTTGTCTTCAGTTCACACTGATACGTGGACTGGCTTCTAGTATTGGAGAAAGGGAGGGCAAAGCATTTTAATGGAGTGAAACTAGGGATTAGAGGGCTTCACCCAGATTATGTAACACGCCCTCTGTTTGCTCCACGGTGAGTAGCTCTTATGGCTTGATAGATGTGTTGGACTGTGTTAATCAGGATATGCTTCTACGGTCGTGACATTTAGGTAATTTTAACATAGCTGCAATTTTCTGTGAGCAGCCACTGTAGCTAAATGAAATGGAAACAATGCTGTAAAATGGTTCCTTAATCTCACAAACCCAAACAATGGATTTCAAAGGGTTGAGATTCTAATTAAAACAGCCAGCTCTGGCTCTGAAATGTTTTAGCTTGGAAGAATTTGTAGTCACGAGTCTCTGCAGCAGTTGTGTTTGTTGGACCTGCAAACTTCAATGTTTCCTCTGGCATCTCTTTTGAGTCCTCCCCACTGTGAGTGTAGGGGGAAATGAGGCTTGTTGTTTTATGAGCCTCTCTTTTCCTTTTGCTGTGGCTTGTCATCACGACTGCACCCTTGTTCCTGCCCATAACACGTTGTCCTTGTTATGGGCGATCTCTATCGCTCGAGATAGGAAAACCCTGCACCAAAGTCATGTCTCAGTCATTGGTTTTCTGTGTGTTTCATGAGAGAGGTTACGCCTGAAGCCTGACCACATCTGTCTTTTAAAAAGGAGAGCAGCTGTAGTTCAGCGAGATATCGGACCCATCTATAGAGACAAGAGAGACGACCTCTGCGTGTGCTTAGAACCGGACTTACTCACACTCACTAATGGGATTTCGCTGCGCTAAGAAGTGCTGTGAGTTACAGTACATGCAGTCAAGCCGGGATTCTCAAAGCATGCATGAGTCCAGCTGGCTGGAAGTTCCCTCTCTGGGAGTTCACTCTCTAAAGTGTATCAAGCCCAGGATGAAGTCAGCGTTTGTGAAACATTAGTTACGCATCTGGTGCTTTGTATTGCCAGTGAGGCCGGGATGCGGTGCACGACTCGGGGCCTGATTATTCAGACAGTCTTAACCGTCTTAACCGGGATCTGCACACCCTGCTAATCGTCTTATGTCAACACAGTCGATGACATTTCCTTTCTTGTTTCTTTTTGTCCCTATTTCCCATGCAAACTGTTGGACTTGTTGCATTGTTGTAATTGGTACGGTATGTGAGAAAACCATCAGCTCTGCTTGTATTTAAATCCAGCAAAGCTGATCTAAATGAATGGCACGTGGGCTGTCTTGACAGACGGGAGTTGGTTGGGTGAGTGGGAGAGGAGAGGATGCCAGTGAGAGAGAGGCCATCTGGGGTATCGAGATGCGGCCCACGCATACTTCTCTGTTTCTCTTCATCTCATGTTCTCACTGAGAGTCGGCTACACCTCACTCTCATTGGTTTTACCGGTTATTGGCGGCGGGTGTGTGCGCGTGCTTTCTTTATTACTCTCGTGCCATGAGTTACACCTGCCAGTGCAGCTCGTTTGAGCAGTCAAACGAGCCACAGGTGAAAACATGACTGTAATTAGTGAGCTTGTTTATTCAGTGTCCAGAAAAAAATCTGAGGCTAAACACAAAAACTTTAGTGACATTGGTAATTTAGCTTTAAACTGGGAAGAGATGAGAGGATTGTTAATCCAGTAGTTATTCAACCAGAGTGGCTTTCATTGTTATTTAATAATGAAATTAAAATGAATGAAATGAAGTTGTGCTTTCACAGCTTAGGAATGTTATCAGGGCTGCAAAAACAAGTAGCAATGATACTTATCCCAAAAAATGTGATCTATATCAGAAACAAATCTTTGATGAAAGTCATTGTATTCTCCGTTTGTACTATCACCAATACAATATCTTTGTTTTGGTACGAACATAAAACACTGTCTTAACAATTTGCATTTTTTCTTGCACAAAAACAAAACCGCTTAAAACTGGCAAAGTTTTAGATTTGAAATCTGAAAACCATTTGATCGAAGAAGAAGTGCTACGGCTACGAAACAGTTCAGCTCATCAATGCCAGCTTTTAACATTATTTTTTGTTATATTGTCGTAAACATTCTTTCCCATGTATAATATATGATGCATTATAATTCTGGTACAGAGCCAGACCGTTCATCAGAGGTTATAAAGTGAGTTTTCCAAAACCACGAAAAGGAAATGAGCCGTTTTTTTTCAGCTGTACAGAGACACGTTCAAACGATTGAGCTTCATGTGCAATGAAATCCCAAACACTGCCAGTTTTTTGCACCAATCTCGACTCAAGATGTCTAACATCCAATTGTAAATGATCCTTTTAGACCCCCAACATGCAACCCATGCAGAACAAATTCATGATATCTGACCTAACAGAGGGCCTAACGATGGTCTACGTTTGCGTGATCTGCCCTCACAGGGAGCCGGTGCAGGCCAACTGTGTTCGATGGAGGAAACGGTTCTCCTTCCCCTGCAAGATGAGCGCCAATGCAGGGACGGGGGTGCTGGACCCCTGTGTGTGCCGGGTGTCCGTCAGAAAGGTACCGTATGAAGCCACTGTGTTCCACATGTCACACTTCAGATGCACCTCCATAGTGTTGTTGATCCATTAGGTGTGACGCTTTGCACGAGGACGACGAGGTTCAGGTTAAAGATGCGTCGGGCGAGGATTTTATGCAGAAAACGAAGCCTGTCGTTCACGTCAGAGTAAAAACAAGGAAGCAAAAAAAAGGAGTGTCTCATCCTTGCTGACAGAATTGCTGTACCTGGGTTTAAATTCCGGTGTTGGTTACGTTCACTTTTAATGCAGCAAATTGAAACCGGAGAGTGAAATATGAACTCTAAAACGCAAGCACAGCAATCTGGAGAAAACACACTCATCACAGTGAAATCTTTGTCCTTTTCTGTCCTCTAACATTTCACCTTAAACACGAGTGTTCTCTGGTTGTTTCATCATGTCATGTTATACGTTTTTAGGATATAAGGTAGAAAAAAACAAGCCTGAATAAGCCTTCCTGGTGAAAAGGCCTCTTGTGTTTCCTGTTCCTGTGCCCTGCCCTCCAAGTCCCCAGAACCCTGTGTTATTTTACTCTACCAGTATTTTGGTTTTGAACTTTAAAATGTCAAGCAGCAACCTGTTGCTACCATTTGGACCCAACATCAAAATTGTACAGTGTTGCTGTGATTTCTCCTCTGATGGAAAGTAGCATATTTGTAATATTGTTATAGTTTACCAGACCAGTAATAAATTAGTACGTTTTTAAGTCTTAAAAGGTCAATAACGTGTGTACGGACACACACCGTTTATAGTGCCGGGACTGGAGAGTGAATCAATCTCTTGATTTGTACATAGCTAAAACATTTAATCAAACTTTCTTGTGTTTTTTTTTTTTTTTTTAAACCTAATCATGCTTGAATGAAGCATGAATTTTGATGTTTCATTTCGATGTTTCTGCTTCTCTTTTCCAGGAGCTGAAAGGTGGGAAGGCATATGCAAAGGTGATTCCTCACACACTTGCTTCATCCAACCCCCATCTCCCAAACCCAAACCTCGAGGTCACCTAGATTTACAGTAATCAGCCGTATTTATGTAGAAATCCATGTGAGCCCGTAGCGCACAGATGGCCCTCACTGCCTGCAGGTTGGCTCATCATGTCAGTCGGCCTCTCTTTCATTGTTTGCAAGTAATTATTTACTGAGTATGCTCAATTTGTTCTTGTGGACTTAAAGCCCTTTCCCCCTTACTATTGAAATTGTAGAAGATTACGTATTTAGTTTTAAAATGTGCTCATTTTGTTGAGTTTCATGTCCTCACTGCTGTCATGTCACATCCAGAGATTGTCATTGTGCTGACTGGTCAAAACATCGGCCTCCTGAGAGAAAAAACAAAAGTTCACTCGGTGTCATTTTTCTCCTTCAGCTTGGTTTTGCGGATTTGAATTTAGCAGAGTTTGCCGGCTCAGGGAATACAACTCGCAGATGTCTGCTGGAAGGCTACGATACCAAAAATACCCGCCAGGATAACTCCATTCTCAAGGTAACATTCTGATCTGACTTCTTTAGGAGGAAATGCAAGCCTGGTGTTTTACCAAGTAGGCAGGAAAATGTTTTTTGCACAAACATTTAGGATTGCTTGGAACAACAACGGCTAGGTTGCCAGTTAGTCCATTAGATCGTAGCCAGAAATGATTGTATTCTTATATATTATCTGCTTTATATTGTGTATAACGGTTTCTAATTTCTGACAAAGCTAAAGAACAAAAAGGCACAAAAACAAAGATCATTATCCCAAAGAGATGAGATGTAATCTTCAGTTCTCCAGTGACTTTTGGATCACGGCTAATGGAAAGCTTGGATGCAAAGCAAACCTGAATAAATGAACAATTGTCTCTTTTTCTATTCGTAGGTCATCATCAGTACACAGCTCATGTCAGGGGATCCCTGTTTTAAAACGTAAGTGATAGTTTTCCTCTTGAGTATGGTGCAAAATCTGCTTTGGTCTGCAGTTCATAGTCTTCCTGACACACCTAGTGTGTCAGGAAGTGTGTCAGCTGATTGTAGTTCAGTCGTTTGGGACTCTTAACCATACAATTTCAAAAGTAAAGCCATTTAAATGCAGAAGCTTGAGAATTAAACTATTCTCCACTCGGCCTGTGCTCGACTCTGAGCGTGCCAAAATGTCGATATGAGCGGACTGTAACTTAAAGCAGTGTCCTCTCTTTCCCCACATGTCCTGTCTGCATCTCTACTACCACTATCAAACAATGCCAACGTCTTAGAATAGAAGTATTAGTATTCTGTGCCAAAGTTATGACGTCAACTCTGGTGCTGTTAGTGTGGTACCGACAGCAAGACCTGGGAAAGTTTCATGGGAATGAAATGAGACAGATATACGCTGACTAAAGAACTGCTGGCTCATCAGACTTTCACATGTCAAAAGGCCTGATTCAGTTCATCCCGCGTGTGACAAACTGTAAGTTGTCACACTAGTTATTCTCGTATAAATATGATTTCAGTGAAAGTGTGTCAGCACAGAGAGGGAAATGCTGCTTCACCCAAGGGCAACATTTGACCTAAAAATTATTCAGTCGCCTGTATGTTGATGCCAAAAGCTGCATCTTCTTTTATTGCAGCATGTATTTAAATATTGAGTGTCGACAGTATATATTCACGTTTTAGCCTTAGCTTTTATACCTAACTTAATGGTATTTTCCTTTTGTTTAATCTTAATGTTTTCCCATTGCTCCCCCGTTCATGTCTTCCTCACCTTGCTTTGTATTTATGTGTCACCAGGCCTCCCTCCACAGCCACGGTGATTGGGATCCAGGGGGATGGAGAGAGCCTGCTGGAGGAGAGGAGGGGAGGAGACTCCCAGAAGGGTTGTTCTGGTGAGTCACGCCACGTTACACTCCTCTGGCCTGCTTAGTCATCCCATTGGCTTCCCCAAACATTTACCTGATGGAGCACACTCCCCATGGGGTGCTACAGGGATGACGTATTTTTTTAGGCTGACCCGGAAGTTGGCATCGCACTAGTTCCCCTCGACAAAAAGCCTTCGGGATTTTCCATTGGACAAACACGGGTTTAAGATACTTAAACTAAATATTCCTCCTAACATCTCAACCACGCTGAAACCTCTTTTCAGTTTGGTTAGATCCCATCTGCTTATCTGTGTGAACTCACTGTTGCTCAACAGCGCCTCAGCGCTTGTCCTTGTAGTGTCAGTTTCTATTATATGTGGCTACCAGATCAAACCAACAACGGTGAAAACAATTTGGTTACATATTTTTAGAGCGGTTATAATCCAAATGTACTGGCGAAATTCAGATTAGGGGAGGGAATAACCTATTATCAGTAAGAGCCCTGTTATATTTAATAAATAACATTGCTTACATGTTTAACTATAGCGTAACCTTTGATCCCTCACTCGTGTCGCTCTACATTAACAGCTTTGAAATCACTACCTAACTGCCGCTAATGCAAGCCGACCACTGCGTGCTGCTCGCCTTACTAAAAGGTTCCGCGCTGGTGAATGAATGGCTTTTATTGTGAAGGAGCTACGAGAGGGAAAGCCTTATTTGTCACAGAGTTTAGCAGTAAAAATGCAGGCCAATTGAGTTTAGCATGTGTGCGCTCTGCAGCAGGATGCACTCGTGCTTTATGTAACTGCTATTCATCTCCCATCCAGCACTATGAAGACATTCCTTCTCCAGCTGCTACACTTCTCTGCCGTGTTTCACCCCCCCCCCCTCTCGCTCTGTGTGTGTTTCTCCATGTGTGAACACATCGCAGTGTTGTTCCTCCTGGAGGCTTCAGAATGTAGCGCAGCTCTTTCATGTATAATTTAAACGAGTTCTCTCTTAGATCAGCTGCAATCTGCTCTGTCCTGTAGGCTCTTGCATGGTTAAAAATAGGTGTGTGTGCAAGCGAGTCTGTCTAGGGGGGGGGGGGGTTGTGTAATTTGCATGTGCACAAATGGGTTTTTTCATGTAATATATTCCTGTATGCTTATCCTCTCAGACATGTTGGAGTGTGACAAACAATACATTGAGTCACTGGAACCTACAAGTGGGTCAAAAATGACCTGCAATCAGAGTTAGAATCAATAGTTCTTCTTCGTAATAATAAAAATCGTCTTCGTCTTTGCACAAAACAATGAATTCTACAGATTAGTAATGTTTATTTGTCATTTTTAACTCATTTTAAGATAAAATGGTAAGAAGCTTTTGCATACCACCTGTTTCTGTCCGTGATCACTGAACACCGGTTTATTGCATTTTACACAACTGTTTACTTTTCACTTGCAGTTATCAAAAGAAGATTTTTTTTTTTTAGGAACATGCCAATGCTGAAATATTGGGGGATAAAAGCCAGCTATGCATCTCAGAGTTAATGTCTCTTGATATTTCTGTTGTGTTGCTGAGGCGCAGACCTTTTCTTCCTGTCCTGCAGACATTTGAACTCGACATTTGAACAGACACTCGTAGCGCTTTCATGCCGTCGTCATCCCGTTTGTCTCTTCTTCTGCTCTTTCTAATGCAGCAGAGAGTCGAGAAGGGAAGTGTCCTGTTGTTTCTGATGATCTCGGGGGGTGCGGCCACTCCCGAACATCCAGCTACGCCAGCCAACAGTCCAAACTCTCAGGTACGGGTTTTTATTTTAGATTCACTGTTGTGGACCTGACGTTGATGGCAGGCAATCATTGAGACCGTACATGGATGTTTATTTAATATGATGTATGCGGCTGTCAAAGCTGGATTGGTGAGTGACGGAGTTAAAACAGCCTCAACTGCATAATGCACACAAAGCTTTTGACTAAAGAGGAGCAAAGTGGTACAATCATTTTCCATCGACACTCCACCAGAGCAGTTCAAACCTGAGGCTCGTGTTTCCATTACAGACGGATCACATGACTGCAATAACAGAGCAGAGGAAGTAGAGAGATGCACTGAGAGCAGCTCTAATGGCCATTTCCTGCCTGATATTAGTTTGTGGGAAGTATGCCCTTCCATGGCTGTAATGAACTGTTGCCCAGATAATAATAATAATAATGATAATAATAATAACTAACCTGCAGAAAAGGTAGCAATTGAATGCTTAAATGAATTGCAAAGCATTGCTGTAAATACAGAACTCTTAAAGCACAAATGCACTGCACTTCTGAAAAACTGCAATTTAAAAACGGACAGAGTAAAAAGCTGAAAAGCAATGCATAAAGAAGGTAACAGCTGATACACACTGCTGAAAAAGATAGACGCTAAACTGTAATTCTGTCAAAGGTGGAAGATGAAATGAATTCTCTCATCAGGAAGAAAGTAGTATTTGGCTGGAATAAACCTTTAAAATTATAAGTACAAATATTTAAAAGAAAGCAGTATTTTGGTGGAAGTCGTTAGACAGAAAATATTATTTGGGTAGAATTATCTTTAAAACTAAGTACTTGGACAGAAAGTAGTATTTCAGTGGTTCCCCCTGCGACAGCATTACAGTTTAGCTTCCAGCTTTTCCAGCGATGTCGTTCAGCTCTCAGCTTCTTTATGTAATGCAGTTCAGTTGTTCAGTGCGATGCATTCCTGCTTTAAGATTTCTGTGTTTTCATCAGTGCTTTGTAATTATTTCCAGCTGCCAGCGTTCACACACACCTTCTGCAAGGAATGCATTTTCTAGTCACAAAGTGATTTACATGGTTGAACCCGGATTAAAACATTCCACGACAGCAATGAGGCAAATAAAATCTGACAGTTAAAATACAAAAATAAAATGTAATAAAATACCCAAACAATAACAACAATAATGATAAAACAGTGTGCTAGCATTACTAAAATGCGTTTTTCAAAAGCTTAGTTTAATGAAGCCGTGTCACTGCAGCTCTACTGACGGACTAAATCCTTTAAAACACTGCAAGTTGCAAATCTGGTCGACAGAAACACCACGCGTATAACGCCTCTTATGAATAACAGATCATTGATTAATCATTTGTTTTAATTCAGATATTAGGCAGTAAATCTTTTCTTCTTCTACACTTATTCACAGCAATGTTTGGACTTTTACTGCAGAAGCTATTACTACATACAATGCATCATTTAATGTATAGCTGGTGTTTGTAGTTTGAATACTACGATACACGTTTGCAGGATTGCCTCAGGACATACAGTTACTTAACATTACTGTCAAATCAGGTGCATGGACCCTGTGAAATGGCTGCTCTTATAACGTGCTTTTATCCTAAGTGCTTTACAATTTGCGGGTCATATTTAGATCATATTCTACAATATGATCAAATCTTTGCCATCTATCTCAGGATACAGCACAGGTCACTCCCGCTCCTCCAGCATGTCAGAGTTCAGCCACCGGAGAAACCATTCGGTTGGCAGCGCCTCGACGGGCATCGGCAGCATCCCGGAGCCCAGCGAGGACCGGGACCGAGAGTCCAGACCCTGTCCCGCTCTACCCGAACACCCGGTCCCCGACGCCACCGCTAGCAACCCGGCGGGTACACCAGTAAGGAGCGCGTCGTCCTGTGAACGACTCAACAGGTGAGTCTCTTTAGGTCATTGGTCAAGTAAAGAAATGTATTTGGTGAAAAGTACGTCCAGATAATAATCATAGTTCTGTTTAATGAAGAGGAAGCAGCAAGTCGGGGTGATCTCCTGTTATTGTAGGTGATGAGCACAACACAGAGGAGCAGTTCTTTTAAGGAAGTTGACAAACTTTAGATATAATCGCATCTCAGGCAGCAGCGGAAGACTGTCTGTGGTTTCATTATGTGGTGTCAACAAGGGCTCTCTGTGCTCATGAAAACGTTCGTCATTGTGTTTGTGGAATCTAAAAATGTGCAACCACAACTCAGAGTAGCTTCTCAAACCCAAGACTGGGGAGGCTTTTAGGGACTTCTTTGGTTGAAGGTGCACTTCATATTCAGCCGACCAGCATTTAGTCGTGTATTTCTTACACACTGTGGCATGTTTTTACTTTAGCAGAGTGGAAGATGAGAAAATCCATACCACGCTCATAAATTGTACTTGTAAATACGAAGCTACCACTTGCAGCTCGAGTCTCCACTAACAAACCTCACGCTTATAGGCCACGCCCCCATCAGCCACAATGAGACATCTCTTCTACTAAAAACATGGTGGAATCCCTCGGCTCACTGGTTGACCACATCCATGCTTCGCACTAAATGTAGATTTCGTTCATGATAAAAGCATTTTCATTTGGCAGTGGAAGCCGTCATTGGTGACAGACACGAGATGACTCTCTTATGTCCTCTCCTAAGACACCCTGTGAAGCAGGACTCCATGGAGTCTCAGCTGAAGAGGATGGACGACACGCGGGTGGATGCTGACGATGTCATAGAAAAGATTCTCCAGAGTCAAGACTTTACACCCAGCCTGCTGGACTCCAGCGCTGAAGGTGAGCTACACGTCCAGAGAAATAATCAGCTGTTTGTATGGGAATCGCCATATCTGCAGGTTTTAATTCTTTTGAGTGTTAAGTGTGTTCCCTCCTCCTTGTATCGACTCTTCAAGGAAAGTTACAAAACGCAACCATATTCTCAAACTCCATAGCAGAAACAATCGGTTATTTAATTGACCGTACATTAAGTCATTTATGAAGTAAAAAAAAAGCCCAAAATGTGCTGGTTCCAGCCTCTCCAATTTTAAAGATTTGCTGCTTTTCTGTGTTTTAAATAATTGTGGATTCATTACTGTCAAGTTCTGGACTGTTGAAGATGTTCGTCTGTGCTCTGGTTATTTATAATTTGCATTTTTTTACCCTTAATATACTACAAATTCTACTCATTTTTTTTTTTTTTTTTCAATTATTGCCTTACTTATTAATCTATTCATTATTTTGTTTATAAAATGTCAGAAATTAGTAAAAATTCAATTCAATTTTCTTAATTGGAAAAAGGAAGAAAAACAAAATATTTATATTTATGAAGCATCAGCAAATGTTTGGATTTTTGCTTGAAAATGGACTCAAACCCTAAATCAATTATCAAAATAGTTGCTGACCAATTGTTAATGCTATAATAACCACAAACATTCATCATTAGCTGCAGCTGTGTTGAAGTCACCAGTATTGCGTTACCTCCGTGAGTCAGTCTGTGCTCCGAGGAGCTCGGTGTTGTTTTTCTTTCCAAGGTCTCATGCAGCTCAAATGTAGGAAAAGAAAGCTGCTATCGATACATGATTATTTTTAGATTGCCTAGCAACTGGCTGCTCCTCATGACAGGAATGATACAGGATGTGGATGCTCGCTGTACTGACCAAAATGTTACTGCAACTCTTGTCTGCTCCAGAGGAAGGCTTGCGTCTGTTTGTCGGCCCCGGGGGAAGCACGGCCCTCGGAAGCCATCACCTTCCCACCAGGTGAGCATGTCCAGCGTACTCGTACTAACGGATTTGTTTCTCATAGAAGATGGAGAGGGTGGGGGCAGTTGATTAAGTCTTTTGTTAAAGATTCAACAATTATCGGTGCAAAAACTGCTGTCTGGGAGATGTTTTACTTCCAAATGGGAATAAGGATGGCAATATAAGTCTCAGGGTTGATCCACCACTTTGGTTTATAACAAACCTTTCCTCTAGCACCACTATGAGGTAGACATTTTTGGTTTAAGTCAAACATCTCACAATGTAGATATGAAGCCGTGTCATGCCGCAGAGTATCTGCCGTATGCTTGGGTAAGAAACGGATTCAAGGCCACTTTAAGAGGTGGACTAGGTCGGAGAGGAGTGTGAAACCGATATACAACACGTAACTATCGGTAAGAGAAGTGGAGCTAGATAAGTAGGGCTAACTGAAACCCATGAAAGAGGGAATGATTGATTCGACTCCTACTGTGCGATACGTGTGCCAGATACTACGGTGAGTTGCTAATATGGTCTTTTCTCGTTGTCCCAGGGTGGGAGCTGGAGCGTACGAGCAGGTGGTGATAAAGCGTTAAGACCTGCAGCCTCTCACAGGTGGACCGACACCGCTTGCATCAAAAAGAACACTGGAGGCAAGGCTGTGTCAAATTCAATCTGCATTCCTACAGCACACACACACGGCCTGCTCAGCACCCTGTCTGACCTCACAACAGTGCCCTCCTGTGTTCAAGAGTCCTGCAGGACACAGTAGCTCGCCGGTAGAGATGAACCGTTATTATCTCGGGCTAAACAAACACACATGAAGGGAAGAGACAAAAGAAAATATTACCACGTATGTAACAAACTCATTTTCTGGGTGTAGATTAGCCTCATCTGTTTGAGGCCAGCATCCGAACCGACTCGATTTAAACTGTGAGGAACCGAAAGAAAACGGTGAATCTCTCTTTCTAATGGAGGACACTGGGACAGGCTGTGTGTGTGTGCATCATCAGAAGAGTATGCAATGCGCTTTCAATACATTCCTTTAGGCTCTCAGTGTTTGTTTTAGACCTTCCTCTTCAAATAAGATGTTCTTTTTAATATTCGCCTATAAGCTGCTAAAAAAAACATTGTTGTAGTTGGCGCTCTGACAACCGTCGCTGTTTGAAGTTGAGAATGTTTTACTACAAAGACGAGGCCTCAGACTCGAGGTGTGTGTGGGTGTGTGGGTGTGTGTGTGTGGGTGTGTGTGTGTGTGTGTGTGTGTGTGTGTGTGGCAAAGACCACTTTAGGTAGGAACCGTTCTCCTGTTATCCTGGATGAGTGGAGGGATGTGATGTGTTCTCGTGGAAAGCACGAACAATTTGCTTAATCGTAAACATAAGATGATCTTATTTGTTTGCCAAGCGGTGTAGAAAACCCGACAGTACTATTTTGCCTTACAAAGGTTACAACATATTAGTTCAAATCTTTTTAACATGAACTGACATCTTGGTGATCCAGTGATCTTAACAGATGTCGGTGACCTCCATCTCTTCTTTTGACTCTAGTGACATTAATGTGCTTTGGTGTGTTTAAGCTACCTTCAAATCACAAATGTATTCCTTTATAAATTATATTGACTTTACTATAAATATATATCAATAGATAGACACCCAGAAAAACAGATACATTTAATTCCTGTAATCTAAAGACAATAAATAATCAAAATAAAGTTTATTTTTGTAAACAAGGACAAGAAGGCTGAAAGAACACATTTAGTGGGTACATACACACGCTATCCCGTCAAACTCACCAAAGATTATCCAAACGCAATATCGGCTTCTTTATGACAATTCTGTTTTTGGGGTTAAGAACTCAGCCTAAATTATAGAAACAAACGTAGTACTGTCTGCCTTTGTGGAGCAGTAAACACGGAGTATGAAAGAGGCTTCTGTGCTGAATCTCACTGTAGAAGGGCAAATATCTCGTGTATCTATCGTGCACCTCTACGTCTGTCTGAGCAGGAAGCTTCCATCAGTGAACACATGAAGGACCCTGTGACCTACCAACAATTGTGTTTGTGTGACTGTTGCATAAAGTAATGTGTTTCACTTAATGATTGTACAGAGAAGGACTAGTTAAGTAATCCACTGCCATGAAGAAAATACTCAACAGCACTTAAAAAAACAAAAGAGCACGAGTGATAATTCTGTGTTTGTGTCTGTACCTCCTAACATCTTAAAACCACTTTAATGATCCAACACAATCAATACATGAACGATCAGTCAATCTAATCTCAAACAAAATAAATGTAAGGAGAGTCTTTGCCTTTCCAGTCTAATTTATTCAGATTATTAGAGAACTTGCCAAAGTGCACACCACACTGTTATTACCCGGGACCCCGTCCGGCCTATGCATACTCAGACAATATTAAGACTCATAACTATTGAAAGCAGACTGTACAGTATCTGTAATCTCCTGTCATAAGCCATAGTAGAGGTAGGATACTTCCTCTTCTAGATAAACTATATCTGTGTTCTATCAAAGTGTCATCAGTGTATGGTGTTTTAACTATACGTCACCGCTCTGTTCTGTGTCTGTACGTTCGGCATGATGAAGACGTCCTTCTGTTAAGCTTTTTCCTCATTTGATATGGTGCCATCTTTTAATCTGAATATTACCACATCGAAGGAACGACTCCGCTTGCCTCTTTAGCGCGTAGGAAAACATTTTGCTCTCATCACTTCCATGTTAAAGCAGATGTACGACGTAACTGTAAATCAGTGTTTTTTTATTTTCGGCATGGTTTAAACGTCTCTAAAAAGATATCGTCTGTTTTTGAATCTGTCAGTGCTTATCTTGTGCCATATTTTTGCTAAATATTTTATTGTTAAGAAAAAAAGTGTCACTACATAGTTAAGACGGTGTTAAGTGTATGATTCATGGCCAACATATATCAACTATTGGAGTTTTGTGTGTGTTTGTTTTTGGATAAAAATCATTTGTTTTACCTGTGTGACACAGGTGTGATTATCTCGGTACCTAACATGTTGTTACAAACATGGTCTCTTCTTCTCTTCTGTGAAGCTCTTATAAGACGTAAAACGTATTCTCCTGTAAAGTGATCTGTTGTGACGCTGTCCAGTGGTTCCCGTCACAGACTTGTCCTCTCGGCCAACGTTTTCTTCCTGAACGAGTGTGCTGGATGCTTCAAATGTGTACCTTGCACTGTTGAATAAAACCATCTAAAACCTTGAGCATGTGTGAGATTATGCTTTAATGCACAGCAATCACAATGTGAACATCTTTTATTGTACCATTTACATTAAGTGGCCTCAGCAAGTGTACTCCTGTTTGAGGCCAGTGGATATTTACACAGAACACAAAGTCCAAACGAGCCATCTAATAAACCCAAGAGCCACAGTTTCAGCAGTGCTTTTGGGAATCGTCAGCACAACAGTAACCACGTGCTGACTCAACAAGTCACCTACTTGTCCCCCGACGCCAAAGCATCTGCATCCCAGTCTTCCTCCGGCTCACAACTGTGGGAACACCGTCTGGCCTCTGCGAACCCGCTGTCCTCCAAATTATCACGATCCTCTTCTTCTTCAGTTATTATATTCATAGAATAAGAAGCAGAGCAGGAAACAAAGTCAGCTGATGATGATTTCGTAAGTGCAATGGGCTAACTTGTAGAGAGGGAAACCAAGCTCTGTGAAGCATAGTGTGTCAAACCAAACTATTTGCACAGAGTACAGTAAGAATGGGGACATCTGCTGGGCAACCCGTGGTGTTGCATTTCTATTGGTCCCCTTTTAAACAAAGTCTGCAGCTCTGCTTGTGGCAGTTGACGCACACATTCCATATTCAGAACTAGCGTGACATGTCGGATGACGGCCTCGCTTGTGATTTTTTTTTTTCCCAACGATATGTCTCGTAGCGACACCTTTGAAAAGTCAACACTGTCAAGTAGTCCGCTTTAAGTGGAACATCACCGCTAGAGATACGTCGATCCCCTTCTCATTAGAAATGTTTACGCAGAAATAACATGACGGACGTAGAAGTGTTGGAACGTTAACGGTACCTTGTTCCTGGTCATTTAGGAGCACAGCAGAGCCGTCCTGGCTCAGTTTAACGTCGGGGTGATCCATCAGGAGCCGTCTGAGGTTACCGAGGCTTCCACTCAGGGCACCGACTTTGGGGCAGCGGGACCACAGCATAGACAGAGGTACAGACACACACCTGCCAGCACACACACACACACACACACACACACACACAAGATGACATCATGACATGAAACCCGTGAGAGGCCAAACCTTTGGAAATATTTGTTCAAAATAAAAAGCTCAGTAATGAGACTGGTGACAGTTGCTTTTTAGTAGCAGCTCAAGAAAATAGAAATGTGTGCAAATATAGAAATGTAGGAATACAGCAGTTTGGAAGAGGACAGCTCACCGTCTACTGTGGTATGTTGCCACACAAACATGGCCCGTCTTCGTGATCTGCACGCCACAAACTGCCTTTTAACACGTCGCGGCAATACTCTTCCTCCTCATCTTCCTCAAGGAAACAAACCTGCGCAATCTGCCAGACTCCTGTTGTCCTTCTGTCCAAAACAGCTCTCCATCCTCAACGTCTTGATGCTCCACCAGATTCTTCATCGCTGCTGCTGTGAGGTATGTTTTTTAAAAAACAGGAAACATACTGTATGCTTTTTATGCGTTTAATTTGCCAGGAACATTTAACCATAAAAAAAACCTGGCAGTATATAAAATACAATGCCATCGTGGAGAAACCTTTAATTTACACACAAATGGCATTTTGCTGGCTCCATTGCTTCCAATAAGCGCATCTTCCTTCAGCAAATATACACCCTGGTTCTTATGAACTGTTCACCTGTCTGCTTCTCTTCCATCTCCAGGTGTTGCTCTGAGACTCTGTGGCATTCCTTCCCTTCCCCCTCAGCCGGTGTATCGGCGTCATCCCCTTGGCCGGTCTCCTCCTCCACCCATCTCCTCCTCAGCTGTTCTGCCCAGTACAACACCTCTGTCGCCAGGACCCTCCGCAAGATGTTGTTGTCATGCAGGCTGGGGTAGTTCTTACTATACAGCTAATACAGAAACAGGTTATGAACAAATACAAAAACTATTTCTAGTTGTAGAAATATCTGGCTTTACAAACTTACTTTTATAAACTCCAGACTCTGATAAGCTAGTTTACTCATCTATAGTTAAAAGTAGTTTTTGTCTTTGTTAATTGCAGGTTTCTATTTTTAAGAGGGCAGTGGGCGTGGCTTACAGTAGACTCCATATGCAGAATACCAAGACTCTCCATGTTGTAGTTGCTGGTGGTCACCAGCAGAGGCCGACAAATATAACCTTTTAAAACTCACTGGTTCTGGGGCTCATGGATTAGTGTTACCGCCCCACGTCCAGAAAAGCGTCACTTTTTTCTACAAATCTTTATTGTCACATTGAATACTGAATGAATTAGGTTAATTAACGAATAAAAACTAAAACACTGCATGAAATTATTAAATCTGTTTCCTGTTCACATCTTCACTCTCAGAATAATCTGATCTTGTAGGAGGGGATCTGTCCACTTGTTTATCAATAAATGGTTTTGAAAAGTTATGACTATACTGTGTTTGAAAGAGTACAAAACTTGTTTGTATTGGAAAAAGACTATTTGCTAAGTCATTTTATGAAAATATTGTTTTGATTTTAAATGTTGCGTATTTAGGATCATTGATATAACACTTTTTGTATCTAGTTAGAGTAAATATATTATGCTATAAACGTGTGGACTTAGCATCCATGGTGATCTAAATTATAGATTATAAGGACACTATAAACAATCTCAGACACATGAAAACATTCGGTGAATAAAGCGGGGAACCAAAAATCCCCATATTCATATTCTCTGAAGACTCAGAAGTCACTGGTCTATAAACAAGGTCTCTCACCAGTGTGTATGAAAGCGCATTGTCAGCATCATCACAAAACACGTTGCAGACCTCTCTTCCCCCGAGCCGGTGAAACACACCGATCTGGGAGCAGAAGCCGACTCTCTCCTGCTGGCCCGGAGGTGCCCGTCCAACGCCGGTGAACTCCACCTCATAACCGTGATCCACGCACACCTTCAGAGCCCTGAGGAGGGATGCAACGTCAACAAAGTTCAGTTTAAATCTTCATAAAGTGCTGATGTATTTTAGGGTGGATTTATCCATTGACATTCTCTGTCATATGCATCGTCAGCAAGCATACCAGGACTTGAACTCGGCTCTGGTCCACTCAAACTTGTGGTCGCTGTGCCTAAAACCCGTAAGTCGAGGGAACAGCGGGTTGAACTCGTAGTTTGGGGTGCTGACGATAACTGCCGCTGGAGACATGTAACCGAAGACCACCTCAGAGAAGCGCTCCACGTCAGCAAGAGTGAGGTGCTCTATGCTGCAGAAAGCCAGGGGAGCGTGATGAGGATGAATGGCACAGAGGGACAGAAAGATGAAAAACCAAACCGATAGAGAGAACCTGCCCTGATAAACAAAAGAAAGAGGCAATAATCAGCCTCTTACAGCTCTATACTGGTCGCCAGGTCAAACCCTCTGAGGCGGGCGTCCCTTTGTGTGACTGAGCCCTGGTACATCTCAACGAGCAGCTGATCATTACGAGGTTGCAGGTAGTCCGTTGACATCGGAGCTAATCCATGCCTGAAGGAACATACAAGCACAGTGCACACAGTCAAAAGACAATTTTGTTTGTTCTTCTAAATTCACGTTTATAAAGCTACAACCAGCGGAAATATTTGCAATTTTTACCCGATCAAACAACTGGCACAATATATTGATCACCAACAGAGTTGCCGATTATGTTTCTGTTGATGAACTCGGTTGATTGTTTCGACTCTGTATTCACCTGCCATCAAACTCTCTGTGATATCAACCATGAGCCCAGCCCTGTATGATGAAGTATTCACTCACTCCTTTGATTTTTACAAACATACGTACATTTTCTTTTTCACTTTGGCACCGTCGATGTCCACTCCGGCCAGCAGTTCGATTTCACAGTGAAACTTCAGTTGTTTGAGAAGGCTGCACTCGCTGCAGCCCAAGTCCACCACCTGAGGAGAAGAGAGAAGTAATGATGTACGCTGAGTAACTCCCGGCTACACATGGATCAAAAAATATATTATTAAATTCCGGTATATTGTGTATATAATTAAATAAATAAAATTAAATGTATCAGATTCATTGTCACCGATATTCGATTAAGCTATTTGAGTTGATATCAGCCTGACATCGGTATCGGTGCATCCTGACTGAACTTTACGGTACATGCTTTGAAAAGGCCCACTTTATGTGCGCTGCTCGTCGTTTACAGGCCGGTTAGCAACTTGAGATGCGAAACTGGAGTTGGAGTTGAGAGCCGACATGTACGACCGGATTGATTCACAAGTAGCCAGTTTACAAGCTACTTTTAAACCAATAAAAAGCAAAATCATCGTCAGAATAGAGCATTTTTGTCGAGGGAAGTTCCATTAGACCAACATTCCCTAAACAGGGATCAGGGAGTAAGGATGTTGTACATCAGGAGTAACAGCCGATCATCACTGAATCTATGCCACAGAGAGACAGGGGAACGCATACTGGAGCTGTGTCGAACCAGCAGATATTGCTGAAAATGCAATAAATTTGTTCTGCAGATGTAAATATCGGCCCATCTGTCTCTGTGATTAGCAATAATTTATATCGGTATCGGCCCTGAAAAAAACATGTGAACTCCAATGCTCTGTAGTCAAAGATGTCGTGAACTCAAATTTATTAAATTGTCAGAAATGATGGAGCAATGTGTTTTTACAGAAAGGAAGGCCTTTCAAAGTACATAATGAAATACTTTAACTTTGACTATTCACCATATCTATATCAAAATGCTTGATTAAGCAATTTTGTAAGTAAGTCATAAGTAATTTCCATCACAACTTAGTAGGATTTGATAAGGGGTTCAGGTAATATGCTTTATAAATCCTGTGATATTATCCAACTGATCTTATTTACATATACTGTATGTATTTTGTATACTGCGTGAACACTTTACTTTGAAAACCGGAAATACCGTTAGTTGTCACACGCGTGTCTTTGCGCTTACTTCGCCAATCCGTCGCATGGCCTCCATTCATTTACCGTAAACGTCAGAATCAAAACACAAGTGCACTTTCCAACGCACGCTTAACGATAATAGTTAATTAACGTTAGATCATGAAGAGGTTAGCTAGCAGCTACTGTGGTTCAGTTAGTTAACAAACCTGTTTCCAATTAACAAGGATAGTTTGGAATTTGTTACTTTACAATGTTAAACATTTAATGCAAAAACCTGATTTAGGTTTTGCGACTGAAGCTAAAGTTAGCTATAGTTAGCTCTATGACGTTATTGGTTCGGTAAATAAGTTAGCTAGAGTTACGTTAGCTTTTGAATTATCGTTAGCAAACGTTACACAAACAAACGTTTGCTTTAAGCTAAAGTGTAAAGTGTGTGTCTCATTGAGACACTAACGTTACCTTTTTGGGTTTATTCTTCTTGATAAAATCGATGACGAATTGATGTCTCTGCCTGTGCAGCGCCGGACTGAACGTTATATCCATGTTGACGATATTCAGCTCAGGTTAACCGTTACGTCAGTAGCCCCACCGGACACCAGAAGGCGCTGTTATGAGTGTGCACGCGGGACTTTTTTTAAATTTTAATGATAATCCTTTTTTTTTTAAACAAGGGCTGTGTCTGCAAAATCCAGATAGATTTGTGCATTTAAAACCATTTTCTTTAAGTCAAAAACTATTTATTTTCTTGAGTAATCTATTAAAATAAAAAACAAAACCCATAATCTCCTAAAACCCAAACTGATCATTCGAGGCCCTGTTTTGTCTTATGAACAGGCAGAAAAAATATCTCCAGTTTGTCATCACACAGCACAAAGACAAGAAATGTTCACCATGACATTTATGCTTAAATAATTACAGATAATCCCAGCACCAATGGTCAATTATGAAGTGACTAATCATATCAGCTCTAGAGCTTTGTGCTCAGAACGTCACTGAGATAGTGAACATGGTTAACGTGGTGATATAAACATCAGGGTTAATGTTCATTGTGAATATGTTAGTGTTTAGCAACGCTCATGAGACAACAGTGAGGTTGTGGGCTGTGACATCAAAACAATGCATTAGAAGACCCGTCCGTTCACATGACACATAGTCATTTGATCCATTGTTTATGTACCAATACTGGTCAGAGAAGCTTAAATCTAAGTGTATCCAGCCACATCGTTGTGGCAGACAGTTTTGTTTTTCTGTTCAGATCCTCAATCACTGTCTCTGATGGTGGTGGAGACATTGGGAGCAGCTGAGCTCTGTCTCGCTTCCCTCAACACCTCCTTCAGGTCAACATCTGTTACACCCCAGGCTGTGCTCATCATAACACTGCTGTTACACTCTGCTCACTGTCGACGTCTCCCATCTCCCACTTCAGACACTTTTCTTGAAATAAGACAGCTAATCGTGTGTACGAGTTGAATTCATGGCAAAGTAAACATTTCCATATTCTGTCGGTATCCTCAAATTATTTTTGCTGTGATCTAAACTCATTTGCTCTGAATATGAGGGTCTAATCGTCATCTCCCCCTCCAGACAGCTCCACACCCCCACGATCTCATCCTCCTCTCCCTAGCTGTGTCTGATTGGGCGTTGGAGTGACGCCAGCTGCAACCATCACCCTGCAGTCCTGAGGGTTTCTGGGTAAGATCACATGTGCTCTCTCTTACCTCTTGGTAGGATTGTGCTCAAATCAGTGGACCGCTATTGTGACCTTTTGCACCATTTGTCTCAATACAGCAATCAAAAATGTGTTTAGTTGTCATAAATTACATTTCATACAGTAGACTTACTTCTGACCTTTTTTGCCCCCCTTTACTTTTATCATAGTTTACTCTATATGGTAGTGTTTGAGGTGGCGGGGCCTCTTTGTCTCCGTCCATACTACATTCCTTCTCCTGCAGCACAGGACACCACAGGGGGTGTTTCACCCATTGATTGAACTTTGGCCCTTCTTTAGTTTTAATCCTCTGATATATACCTTTTTCTGTCTAATCTTGACGGTGAAGTCAATTTGAACACAGTGAAAGTACAATGTTGTGACTTACTAAATGTTTATTTTTGCGGTGAAAGAAAATACATCTGTAAGTAAAGCACGTTGTTTTTGAGGCTACCTTTGCCAGTGGAGTTTTAACACCCTTAGTTTAGAAAAGCTATTGACTTATTTCCTTAAGGTATCCTGTCAGAGGGTTTAACATTATAGTTCTTTAAAACTTAACAGTCTCCTATAAAATTGAGGTTCAGGTGAAGCCTTGACATTGCAAAGAAAGAATAGAAAAAACAAACAAACTACATCATGAGGTATGAATCGATTAAATGGCCAAACGGAGTGAATACCAACATTAAAGTAACAAAACGTTTTCAACACCAATCTTCATACAGAGGGATGTTTTAATGTTTCAAAGATATGTTTTTTATTCTCTCATTTCTGTGATTGTTAAAAGCAATCTGTCAAAGTGTTCACAAAATGAGAAGTCACATAGTACATCATTTAGAAAATATACTGCATGGTTTCAAAAATATTGCTTGAAAATATATCAGCTTATGTTTACACTACGATCATCCAGAGTTTAATAACCTTCTTGAAAATAAAACCATTTTTGATGAATAGAATTTCAGCAATACTTTGTTAGACGGCATTAATGTCATAATGCTGCTATGATACCAGCCATAATTATTAAAATGTATACATATACGCTATTGCTAACAAAGATTCATAAGCATTCAAATCTAAAAGGTTCTCCTCAGGTTCGATCATAATTTATCTGTGACATGCAAGAAGTACCCCAAACAGAAGAACGTTGTGGCTTTGTAGTTGTAATTACTTTATTTTTACACGTTTCCTTCTAAAATTCTTAGAGATTGAACAGTTAACAATCGTGTTATGGATGCTACAGAGAGAAGAACACAAAGATATGGTGGTGGTTCTGCTGAGTCCAGTGTCTATTTAAGTGTATCTGTGGTGCTTCGTGAGGAGGCACCGGTGGTTCTACACACTGGCTTGGTGTAGTTGCTTTGGTCGATGGCGTTTTTGGCTGCCATCCTGATGCAGTAGGTGGTCCACGGCTTGAGGTCAGTCTCGATGTAAATATTACCTTCCACGGTTCTCCTTCTCGGTGGCCGATTGGTCTGCTGCTTCTCCACAATTTCGACTGTGTACTCGGCCGCATTCTCTACCGTCATCCACTTCACATACAAGGAAACTCCACTTACTGTTACATTCAGCACTTTTGGGAGTTCAAGATCTGAGAGAGAGAGAGAGAGAGACGGGTGAGAAATTAACACAATGTACGGGCCTATGATGATTTCAGATTCATTACTATGCATCTCTAGGTGATGTAATAACACAACACTTACTGTTATCTAAATGGGCATTTCTTCTTCTGCGAGCTACTGGACCTGAGGAAGGTGAGAAATAATGGTGACAAATGTCAGAAACTGGATTTTAAAGTGGCAATATAGAGGGAATAGTGATTGCGCTGTCGATGTTTTCACCGTACGTCTGACCTGTAATATCTCGGGTAGGGATGCTTTCTCCCGCCGCATTGCTGGCTGTCACTTCAGTGGTGTTTGGATCAAAGTTGGCCAGCTGGCAGGAGAGTCCGGTGGTGTTGCAAAGCTCGACACGGGCGGCCCCCGACACACTGTGGACAGTGTACCGTGTGGCAAGCACCGATGCATCCCAGGACAGCACAGCAGACGCTCTGCCACCAGTGTATCTCACATTCTGGGGAGCACAGGGGACTGGGAAAGAAAACAGTGAGAATGCAGTTAACAGAAGGACTGGGGGATGTTGTATTTAAAACATGCATCATCATTTTTAGGTTGGACAAGTAATCGAAATTTTATCAAAATCGCAATATGGCCTACTCCAATCTTCAAATAAAAGAATATTTATTACAGGCAAAATCTGTGTCAAAATAGTGTTTTATCCTAAATATTGTCACACCATAATCATTTACTTTCACTACAGAAATAAGAATGTTGTAAAAATGGTCATTCCCTCTAATATTGCTAGTCACATAGTTTAGCTCTATTCTTAAGTCCCCCTATTTCACATTTATAAACCTTAAATACATGGTTTACAACACATGTACAACACATGTAGTTGAAAGCAAAATAAGGACACATACATATTTATTGGTGCAGTGTAAACCTACCTGAGACTCCAGTAAAGGCACTGGATGGCTCGCTGGCCCCGCCTGAGTTTCTGGAGCGTACGGTGAAGTTATACGGCGTGCTGCAAGGTATTGGGAACTCAAAGTATGTCCTTGGCAACCAGTAAGAAGAGACCTGCATCAGGGTCTGTGGGTTGTTTTGGATTGGACCGGTTACCTCCATAAGGTACTCATCAGAACAATTGACATTGTCCCATGATGTCATGGCCCAGTGAGCTTTGCCTATTCTTTGCATTCGGACATTCAGAGCAGTCGGAGCGCATGGGGCTGAGGAGGAAAGGGATTAGAGATTAAATTAGTATTTTACTCATGGAATTGTAACAGTCAGTCCTTTAAAAACACATTTTAAAGAATAAAAAAACATCCCCTCTGGACTTTTTGGTAGGATATACAGATTTTTACAATATCTTTACCACTTGACTAACTGTACTACATTGCAAGTATTAAAGCAAATGGGAAAGACATAACATCAGTTTATTGATTGGTTGTTATTGTATGTTACCTGAGAAAGACGAAAGATTTTTAATATCTACGTACTATATTTAACAAACAAAGGACGTTTTTCAGGAAAATAAATATAATTCTTGCAAATACATAGGACTAGAGGTAACACTTTTTCTCCATATTTTATTCTCTATGTAAAAATGAATTTGTGCTCAATTAACTAATTGGAGCATTGATATTTATGGTGAACTGCAATAGTTATATCTTTTAGTTTAAAATAATTACCTGCTCCCGCCCGCAGAGGTGCACTAAACGAGCTGTTGCAGACGCCGTTTGAGGCTTCAACAGAGAAATTGTAAACGTCACCACATCCCAGGCCGTCGATTGTGCAGAAGGCGACCGTGCTGTCACAGTAGAGCGCGTCTCCATCCATAGGTTGGGCACAGCCAAAATACTCCACAGCGCCCTCACTGGCACCCCAAGACAGGACGGCAGAGTTGGTCTCACAATCGATATCCACAGCGAGACCAGAGGGCTGACAGGGCACTGCAACGACAGAGAGAAGATAACTCGAGAGATTCAAGCAGGAGGCAAATAATAAGGTAATGTAGAAACCAAATTTAGAAAGTAGCAGCTAGATTGTGCATATTAGAAGAATTGGAAAAGCTACTTTTTCAACACCAGAAATTGATTTTTAATAAACTATAGCATGAAAAGAAAAAATAGTCTTTGCACGAGAGCTCACAGCTCCAATACGCTAGCTTCCTATTCTGGTCTGAAAATATGACTTTATTTAGGGCTGAAAGCAACAATTTGAATATTTTTTTGATTATTTGTATCTTCTATACATACCTGTTCTGAAGGATGAAGTTCTGGGCTTGCTGGTGCAGTTGTCTCCACTGGCGGTGATGCTTAAGTTATACGTCTGTCCGCAGTGCAGATCAGCCAAGGTGCAGTTGTTCACAGAGGTGTTGCAGCTCGCTTCATGTCCATCCCGCCCTGTGGCTGTCAGTAGGTAGGATGTAGCCACAGGGGAGTGTCCCCACGTCACTGCGGCTCCATTCTCCTCACAGGATGCTGCCACTGTCACATTGTCTGGGACACAGGGCGCTAGAGAGAACAACATAACCTTGAATATGTTTGTTTGTTTGTATATTTATACAGTTTGTATAGTAATGAATACATGAATCTGTTCCAGTGAACCGGACAATACTGGTGTGCTGAAAACGACCTGTTGTGATCTTCTTTGGTGGGCTTCTGAGGCTGCTGCACTTATCAGAAGAGGTTGATACTATGATGCTGTAATGCATGCCACAGCTGATATCCGGGAGCACACACGAGTGGGAGGAGCCGTTACAGGAAACGAAGGTTTGGTCGTGGCCCTCAGCGGTCACCACGTAGAGCGGTGTGTTCTCCGTCATCTCCCATTCAACCAGGATGGTGTCGCTGTCGCATTGTGTCACTACAGTAATGGCTGTTAGAGCGCAAGGACCTACAGAACAAGACAGGAAGAGAGCAATCGCTTCAGAAAACACTACTAGTATGAAATTAAAAAGCTAGTATATTTAGGAAAACACAAGCATTTTATGCTCATTTCTTGTTCTACTTAATCTTTCAGAGAACCCGTCTTGTCAAACGACTTCATTGGTGCTTTATATAATCAAACCCTTTAAAAAACACTCAGATCAGACACTATGGCATTTGTTTGAAAACCCATGACTCTGGGGAGGGAGCGTTAGAAGTCTGCTCTTACAACTTTGTGGTTCTAAAATTAAACTGTACGCAGTTTTTTAACTATAGCTCAAAATAGAAGCAGAGTAAATCCTGTTTTGCTGATGAATAACCTAGTTGTAACTCTGTGCCCAACCTAAGGATCAGGACCCCTCCAAATGGATCACAAGATGAATTTAAGGGGTCACAATTGATGATTATCTGCGATGGAAAAGAAGAAGAAAACATTGTTTTGCTACAACAATTGAGAAAAACAATGTAGTTATAACTCAAAGCTTTGCTTCTTACATCAAATAGTTTTACCAGTAGCAATCAAATGGAAAGAAAACTCACTGTTTGATGAACAAGTGTTCATTTTAAGAGGTCACAAGCCGAAAATGTTTGGAACCACTAACTCATAGATGGCGGCGTAACAGCACTTTTGTGCCAGACAAGAACGTCATAGCGTTTCATTTAGATAATTTTCCTAGTAACCTTTCATAGACAACATTTCAGCACTTCACTTCAAAATTGGTGTACTGAGAGTAGATATTATTTTTAAATACCTGTCTCAAGCTCAAAGGTGCTGTGATTACTGCGGCAGTGTTTGTTGACAGCAGTGACATAGAAGGTGTAAAGGGTCCCGCATTTCAGATCTGGGATAGTATAGGGAGAGGAGGCGGATGTGCCGCTGATGTTGTGACCTCCGACCTCTTGGGCCATCACGTAGTAGCTGAGGGCTCCTTCTGAGACGTCCCACGTCACCCAGGCATCGTTTGACACGCAGTCCAGATTGCCCCGAGCATTCCTGGGCACACATGGAGCTGTGGATGGAGTTCAGAAATTGATATCTTAATTTTGTCCTCCGTTTGAAGATGTTCTCCAGAAGCACAGGGATGGTAGGAGTTACATTATGTCGGACACGCATGGCAACAGCAGCAGATAAACTCACAAACACACTATATTAAAAACTGCTGTTGAAGCACTCGTTGCCTGCAGTTGATGCGAGCGTTAAATTTGTACCAGCTATTTCTTTTCTTTACCGACAGGTGACACAGGTTGTTACATTTAGAACTGGACGGATCCTTGTGGAGCATCTGGAACCTGCGTCAATTAAGCATTTGAACGAATGGATATTGAAGTATTGAAGTATACCTGTGGAAGTCTCGACCACAGCGCTGGGCATACTCTCACAGCCATCTCTCACAGACAGCACAGTAAAGTTATAGTGCTGTCCACACGGTAGATCGCTGATGGTGCATACAGCGCCGCTGGAGTTACAGTACAGTCTCGCCCTGGTGTTGCTTACTGCCGCCACATGGAAGTACTGGGCATCTGGGTTGGGGGACCAGGACACGGCCATGGCGCCATCATCACACTGTGCAGCAATAGCCACATCCTGGGGTGCACAGGGGGCTGAGGGGGGACAGACGAAGCAAAGAGGGCAGGTTGATGTAATATTGTTCAACTACTATTATAAGTTGAGGCGTAAAGTACTTTTGGACCCGGCAACTCCCCCCACCACCATAATAATAAATAATACTGTCATAATCCCCCCCCCCTATGTTTACAGTACCTGTCCGCACGTATGCTGTGTCACTCTCCACACTGGAACAGGACTCATCCTGGCCGAACACGCTCACATGGTAGGTCTTTCCACACTGCAGGTCGCTCAGATCACAGTGGGTCATGGTGTTGTTACATTCAGTCGTGTGGCTTCCATCTGCTGTAACACCCACCGCACGATAGGAGAGCGCTCCGCTCGCTCGCTCCCATGTCACGGCGGCAGAGTTTGAGTGGCACCGGAGGGAAGCCTTGACGTTGGTTGGCCTGCATGGCACTAGGAGAGAGAAAGAGGACGGGCAAGCATTGAGACAATATAGTTCCTGTGGCTTAGATCAGAAAGTTCACATATCGGCAAGTAGGGATGTCTCCATCAGTTTTGGCTATATTGAGCTATGTTAAGCCCAATCCGATGGTTCATTTGTTTGTCAGCTGTCACAGAGGTGTTTTCACTCCAAGCTTTCATACACAGCAACGCAACAAACACTGGAGAGCACTTAAAGAAAGAGAGACATTCCCTCGGGACGGCGACAAGGCCAAAAAGATTACAGAGCGGGTTTGTTATTTTATACTTTGATTGTGTTTTTAAAAAAAACAGCTTGGATGCAGGTGATTTTTTTTTTTAATGCAATACAGAGCTATTCATATAAATTGAATTGATGTACTTGCAGTGTGCCTCTGTATTGTATAGGAAAATATAAGTTTTATCTCTTCTTTTTTATTAGGTAATATGCATTATATGCTGTAAGTTATTAATGACAATTTGTTGAAAATGAAATCTAAATTCATTTAATAAGGGATTTTGAAAGGATACGACATTAAGTAAATGCAATACAGGACTGAGGAAAAAAATGCGATTAAACTTAAACCCTTAATGTCTCTGACATTTAGTTCCATTTCAGCTTTTTGACAATGCCAGTGGTTACTGTGGTGCCCACATATGGCATTTTAATTTCCCCTTTTTTATCTTTTGTTTATGTTTGACGTTAAAATAAAAAGACTCAGAACTCAGAATATTTGGCTGCTCTACCAACCTGGAACCTGATCCAAATGGACCCGTCGATGGAAATCCTAACCATTTAGGCTGCCCTTTCCAGATGTTTAATGTGGCATTCCTTAACTTCTAACAGCAAAATTATCCCAGAAAAGTCTTATTAGATTATCAACTGTCACTCAAACCGGAGCATTGAACTCATGGAAAATGACACCCGACATACTGAAAAACGTACCTGACTGCAGGTTGAGGTAGGCGTGGCTGTTGTCACATTGTCCATCCTTAGCTGTCAGTGTCAGGTTGTAGAGCTGGCCGCAATGCATGTTGGGTAGCTGGCAACTGGTCGCGGTGCTGTTGCACTGAATCTTGTGACCATCAGGCCCAAGAGCTCGCAACATGTAGGAGGACACGCCCTCCTCCTCTTCCCACGACACAACTCCTGTGTCATTACTGCATACCATCTCTGCTGTTACTTTCTGTGGTGTGCACGGCACTACAGACCGACAGACAGACAGGTATGGATGAAGACAGGTATAAATAGAGCTTTAAATATGACATTCAATATGCCTTACAAGTGAGTCTACCTGTGTTGAGCTCCACAGCAGAGCTTCCAGCGCTGCTACACGTCTCATCTGAAGCACTAACGGTGATGGAGTAGTTGAGGCCGCACAGCAAGTCATCGAACAGGCACGTCGTCTCGTTGCTGTTGCACATAGACGCGTAGCCGCCGCTGCCCTGGGCCACTGTGGTGTAAGACGAGGCCCCTTTGCTGGGCTCCCAGGAGACCGCCACAGCGCCAGACTCACAAACTACCCGGGCCTCCACCTGCTGTGGCACACAGGGCACTGCAAAGGCACAGACAGAATCATGATTCAGGATCAATATAGGTCCAATAACTAGCCAATATTAGCAATATCATAGAAAACCCAACACTATTTTGCCTAAATTAGGTTTGTGGAAATATTGTATTGTTTAGTAGTACGTAAAATCATGAAGAGTACATACATGCATAATTTTCATAACAGAAACATCACGATATATCCACAAAAATGTCCAAATATTACTAGAAAAATCACAGTTGACATAATTAAATTAGCCCAATCTGTAATGAATACCATCTGTCATGCTGGCAAGGCCTGAGCATGTTAATTCTCTGTGATCATTCTCACCTGCTTGCAGCTGCATCATGTTACTCTGCGACACATTGCACACGCTGTTGACGGCAATCACGCTGATGTTGTAGGTGGAGCCACACATGAGGTCTGTGAGGACGCAGGACAGTGAGTCCGTCTCGCAGTGAGATTCATCTTCTTCCACGCCAAAGGCTTGGACAACATAGGAATCGGCCCCTCTGCCGGCCTGCCACTCCACGCGGGCCGTGTTAGTGGAGCAGTTCACTACAGGAACAACATTTCCTGGAGGACAAGGCACTGGAAGAGGAAAGTGAGAAAAAAAGAAGTGAGCCCAATCATAGGTTTTACTTCCTCCATGTTTACCTCCTCAACTGTAGAATTCTGGTCTTAATCATATCTAACAACAAACATCTTTCAAAATCAGATGGAGGTCCCTGAAGTATAATCTTAACAAATGGGGGTCTGTTACGGTCTGACGTTTGCATGTGTATGCTAGGCATTTTTACAAATCAGATTTTCACCAATTGTGTTTATTTTTTATCACTGTTTTAATATTTGTACAAATTTTGGGTGGAAATTCGAAGTGGAAAATAATGACCCGTAGCTACTTTGCACCTGTAACCAAAAAAAAATAATGATGCCACTACAGATCAGATAAACTAGATTTCATTTGGTGTTAAATTCCCCAAAAACTGTATTTAAAATCCTTACCCCCATAACTCTAATTTAAATTTACTGAGTGTAGATGCTTTTCTTTCTTTTCTTTTCTTTTCTTAGAGCTCACCTGATTCCACCTGCAGCTGGGTGCTTGGCAGGCTGCTGCACTGCTCATTTGAGGCCACAGTGAACACGTTATAGGTCTGACCACACTGCAGGTCTTCCAGCTCGCAGTTGGTGAAGTTGGTTGTGCAGGTGGACACACGGCCGCTAGAGGACCGAGCTGTTGCGGTGTAGTTCAGGGCGCCCTCGGCATAGGCCCAGTCCAAGAGGGCAGAGTCGGTGAAGCAGTCGAGAACCACAGAGCCAATGTTAGGTGTGCAGGGAACTGAGAGAGGGGAGGGAAGAAAGGGAGGACTGGAGTAACGCTTGTACACGTTAACAGCAACAAGTCAGTGACACACGTTCACATGTAAACATCCAAAGGCGATTCATGTCCATCCAGTTGTTCTACCTGATTTGAACGTTGTAGCTGGGCTTGGTAAACTTGAGCAGATATCATCCTGCGCCACCACCTGGACAGAGAAGACCTGGCCGCAGGTCAGGTTAGTCAGGGTGCACATTAGGTTTGTCGTCTCGCAGGAGGACATGGCTCCCTGTGTGCTCTGAGCCGTCACTTTGTAGGACAAAGCCCCCGCGCTGGCACTCCAGGACACGAGAACCTGATCTGTAGAGCAGTCTATCGTCACGTCCACATCTGTAGGAACACAAGGCTCTGGAGAAAGGCAGGAGGAGGAGATTGTCATCAAGTGAAGTGAGCATAAAAACAAACCCAGTTAAGGCAACAATTGGATATCACATTTTATATACATTTTCTTCCCTTAGAACCTTGACCAAATGTATTTACACACCAGAAAATGGATCAAAAACATTTAGAGGATAAAATAGTCTCACCTGACTGCAGCGTGTCAGCCTCACTGGGGTCAGAGTCGCACTTCTCCTTTGAGGCGACGACCGTCACAGTGTAGTTTTGTCCACATTGGACGCCGGGCATCCCACACTGTGTGCTGTCAGACCAGCAGCTTCGCGATTGGCCGTCTTCTTGCGTCACCGTGGCGGTGTAGAACTCGGCCCCAGCCGATCCGGTCCACGAGACTACCGCAATGTTAGCGATGCAGTTCATGTAGCTGGTGACGCCGGTGGGCGGGCAGGGCTCTGGGGGAAGGGAGAATAGACAGTTAGTGAGAGCTGACTTTGGAATAAGCAAAAGAGCCCTCGTTTATGGAACTACAGTTAAACATCAGTGCTGCAGAGTTTATTTTTTTTTTGATGTTCTCCCTGAAAAATAGAGGGTGTTGTAGGTTGTACTGATTTCAAATCCCTCTGTGACAAATTTGTGATTTTGTGATTTATGAATAATGTGTATATATATATACAAAAATGTAAATTCATTGTTGTCAACTACAGTTTCCCAGTAAAATATCCCCCAAATTTAGTGGTTTAAAAGAACAAGTTTAAAAGAAAACAATAAATAATTAAAATAGTAATCTACCTGACTGGAGCATTAATGGCTGACTGGGGATGCTTGTGCACACAGAGTCCACCGCCTGAACAGACAGGAGGTACTTCTGGCCACAGAGGAACTCGGAGATGAAGGTCCAGGTGTCGTTGGTGCTGAGCTGCACTTTGTGACCGCTGTTGGTCTCTGCGGCCACAATGTAAAACTCAGCAGCGTCACTGGCATTCCAGGTCAGCGATCCCACCTTAGAAACAGATTACAATATGGTTTTATGTTGAGTTTGTTAAAAAGCCTCTATCAAAACAAAAGCGCCTCACAGAGCAGAAAGATGCAATAGTTTAATAATTCCTGAGGAGGAACATTTTGTAAAAGTCAAATATTCACCTTCGTAGTGCAGTTCAGAGATGAATTCAAGTTCTCAGGGATACAGGGTGCTAAAAACAGAAGACAAACCTTTAGTTGTGAATAATTCTCGATTATTCTGCTTATCATTTTCTTAGGTGATGTCATCATACGTCTTGTTTTGTCTTACAAACAGTTCAAAACCTACAGATAATACATTTTACAATCATATCAAACATAGAGAAACTGATTAATTCTGATTACTGAGACTGGGGAACGTGCCAGATTTATTCCTCAATTCTTGTTGGACTTCTCTAACCTTTCATTTCCTACGTTCAGGTTTCTTTTTCTATTCCTTACTTTTTTTTATTCATTTTCATGTGTGCCCTATAAATTTCCCCCTCGTAACTTCCTGGTTTTGACACGACGTTCAAAGGTAGTGAGACTTCTCGCTGTGCACAGTACAGAAGCATGTTTACCCATTCTTATGGACGTGCTGTTGCTCGGCATGCTGCTGCACAGGTAGTCGTTGGCAATGACGTGAACGGTGTACTGCTCGCCACAGTGCAGGTCGTCCCAGGTGCAGCTGGTGGCGTTTGTGGTGCACACGTGGGTGTGGCTGTCCTGTCCCATTGCGATGGCCAAGTAGGACTCCGCCCCGTCGCTCATGGCCCAGCTGACTGAGGCCAGACTGTTCTCACACTGTACGAAGCTCTGCACATGCTCGGGCACGCAGGGACCTGAGGTGAGGGTGAATTGTGGCATCATGATAAACTTATTATTCTGTGCACCACACAAGGCAGAACTATAAATAGAAACACATACCTGTCTTGAATGATTCAGGCATGCTCACAGCGCTGTCACATCGATCATCCTGAGCTTTCACAGTGAAGGTAAACAGCTGTCCGCAGAGCAGCTCAGCCTCCACTCTCGTCTCCTCGGTTTGGAAAGACGTGACATATCCCAGGTCTCCCGTGGCCGACACCACGTAGACTGATGCCCCTTCAGCTGCCGACCAATCCAACACTACGGTCTCATTGTCACACGACCCACTGATTGTGAGGCCAGTTGGCTGGCAGGGCTCTGGAAAAGGAGACAATGTCCTTAGTGGAAATTTATTTTAGTTCAGATGTGATCTTTGCTGGTCCCACTTCTGACGCACGTGTTCCAATACCGCTACAGTGTCGGGCTCCAAATAACAATTTCTTTTGAATTAGTAATTTCTTCCAGAAGCTAAAAGCCCAATCAATCCATCAATCAATCAATCACCTAACTAGTTAATTAGTTGACAATGAGCGCTACCTGTCTGAACCTCCACAGTGCTGCTGTTTTCACTGTAGCACATGCCACTGAATGCAGTTACAGAGAAGTCGTAGGTTTCCCCACAGTACAAGTTCGAGAACTGGCAGGTGGAGTTGGTGGAGTTGCACTGCAGAGTCATTCCCATGCTGCAGGTGGCAGTGGCCATGTAGAGCTCCACTCCCTCTCTTTGCTCCCAGTACATGTCGGCCGTTCTCGTCCCACACTGCAGGTCCACTCCAACACGCAGAGGTTTACAGGGACCTGGACAACATGTTGAGTTGAGATAAGTTTTAGTGGTTCCCATTCACTCGAATCCCAACTTCTCTGTGATGAGATGTTGCTCGACTCACGTGTGCCGAAGGTGACATTAGCGAGTGTCTCAGTCTGGCAGTGGTCGCTGATGGTTGCGAGACTGACGTTATACGTCTGACCACACTGCAGCTCAGTCAAATCACACTGCTGCTCATCGCTCTCACATGAAGCCCGGTGGCCATCCTCTCCTACTGCAGTCACCGTGTACGAGTTTCCTGCATTGGCTGGGCTCCATGAGACCTCGGCCGTGTTGTTGTAGCAATCCAAATCCGCGGCCACTTTTCCAGCTGCACAGGGAGCTTGAGACAAAAGGGACGGAAAGACATAGAGGCAATACAATGCATTTTTCTTGATCACACTTTAAAGCTGCAGGCTCTCTAGGTCTAAAAATTGCCAAGAAAGTTGTTTTGTTGGCAACATTAAATACCACTAGCTGTAAACTATACGCTGATGTAAACACAAGCACCGATTATCATTAGTTGCTTCATATTAAATGCAAGCCAAAGGCACTAGAGAGGCTAAACACAAGTTGTCTGGCGTTAGCTTTCTTTGCTCACTGCTGTTTAATATACTGTGTTTTGCTTCTAAGGTTTATTTCCTAATTTTTTGGGGGGTGTAGACGTATCCATACACGATGTAATCATTTTTAAAAAGATACCCTGTGGAGTTTTCCTTTCAACAAACAAAGTTATGTTTACATTCACTGTTTCTCACCAAAAAGCATTATGTGTATCCCTGAGGCCACACAGTTGAGTGCATTTGCGAAGCCAATTTTTAATATTTGAAACCTTCATTGTTTATATTCTTGTTTGCTGCATCTTGCAAGCACATTACTAAATTTCTTGGAGCATTACCGCCATCTGTTCATCAGTGGAATATCATTAAACTCATTAAAACATTATACTCAGAAGCCATGAGTACGCCATACCTGAGACCAGAAGGACAGTATCGGAGTCTGTACTGTTGAGGTTTTCTCCGATGGCGAAGACGTTTGTGTGGTAGACGATGCCACAGTGGAGGCCTTCTATGTTACAGACAGTGTTGTTGGTGTAACAGGACAGGGAGTGGCCATCACGCCCGGCGAGTACGGCCTTATAGCCCACTGCACCAAAACTGGCCTCCCACGACACGATGCCCATGTTGTTGTGACACTGCACATTGGTCTGCACGTTGTTGGGCGGGCAAGGTTCTAAAGGCAGAAAAAGAAGCATACAGATGATATGTTTCATCTATAAACACCAATATGCTACTTTATCTATGAATCTTCGTATGTTTAATACTTTTAATTGTAATATTTACATCAACAGATACTGAAAATATTGAAAGTGTCACGTTAAGCCTAAATGACATACATGTTCTCTGTCCTAGGGCTGCAACTATTTATTATTTTGCTTATCAATTAATCTGCTGATTATTTCTTTGATAAATTTAATTGTTTTGTCTGATCAACACTCCAAAACTTATCGATATTTAGTTTATAAGACATACAAGACAAGAGATAAAACAGCAAATCCTCACAGTTGAGAAGGTGAAATAATGGAAGGTTTTGTATTTTTACTTGATGAGTAACGTTCAAAAAGGAATCAACACTATCACCGTGCTGACATCACAGAAAGTCCACTGACTGTTTAGAACCTAGCAAGTACAAAGATGCATCTTCTATCAAGTTCTGCGCATTTTCTCACCTGTCGTAATTGCAGCCGATTCGGTCGAGTTGGACACGCCTTGACACACAGGATTGTTTGCAGTGACATTAACTGTGTACGTCTGGCCACAGCTCATGTTGTACAAGACACAGTAGGTCTCAGTGGTGTTGCAGGAGACCGTCAGGCCCTGCTCTGTTACCGCTTCAACTGTATAGTAATCGGCACCTGCGGTCACGTCCCACAGCACCTGGCCGATGGTCAGGCTGTACAGGGTGTACACGGGGACGATGTGCTCAGGTATGCACGGCCCTGGAGGAGAGGAAAAGCGTTGATGAGCGAGAATAAGACTCATTTTGCGCGGTGACGGTCCAACATCCGAGTGAAGTGACAATAATTAAGAACATTATTAAATGGTAGGGGACTAAGCATGCAGCTTTGTTAAGCTCGTGTGCCTTGGCTCACCAGTGAGCAGCTGTCCTGTCATGTGAGCGATGCTGCTGCAGGTCTGTCCCACAGCTTTCACCGAGACGGAGTAGCTCTGGTCACAAAGCAGCCCTTCCAGATCACAGTGGGTGGTGTTGGCCTCACAGGCGACGCTGAGGCCCGACGCCGTGGTGGCCGTGACCATGTATGACAAAGCCCCATCACTTGGGTACCACCCCACCATGGCTATCTGCATATAGCAGTCCATCACTGCCTCAACATGTCTCGCCTCACAGGGAACTTAGAGGACAGGTAAAACCGTTATGACAGTCTTGACTTTAGTTTGCTTAAAATGTGTTACCGCATTGATGTCTAAAAAGAACTAGAAGAGAAAGTCAAGACAGACCAGTTCTCCTTTAAGCGTCTGTCACTTGACTCTCTGTACCTGAAGGTGCGTCAACCACAGGAGTCGACGGGCTGTTGCAGTATCCATCCGAGGACACCACGGAGACGTGGTAGATCTGACCGCAGCCGAGTCCTGTCACATTGCAGGAGCCCTCGGTCGTGCCCTGGCAGGTTGTGCTCTGACCGTTGCTGTCCTGCACTGTGGCGATGTAGGAGTCGGCTCCTGAGCTCTCAGACCAGGACGTAGTCAGAGTATTGCCCTCACAGTCCACCACAGAGGAGACGTTTGCAGGTGTGCACGGCACTAGTGAGAAGAGATAAGGAAGATTAGGTGTGGGGCTTTAAGTCTTCTAACTGTGTACTTGGTGTTTTTAACCAAAAAAAGATAAATAGCATGAGCTGTACCAGGTTACCCTAGATGAAAAGAAACAAATGCACAAACGTTATTTGTTGTATGCAGCTCTGGGTAACGTCCGTGTGAAAGACTTTACGTACCAGTCTTGATTGTATCACTGTCGCTCCATTTGCTCTGGCAGTCTTGGTCCTCTGCCATCACAGTAGCTGTGTAATACTGTCCACAGCGCAGACCTGTCAGATCACACTGGTTCGTGTTGGAGCTGCACTCGTCCACGTGGCCATCGGTGCCCACAGCCCTCACTCTGTAAAACTGTCCTCCCCTGCTGCGGTTCCACGACATGGAGGCCACATTGTCGCTGCAGCTCAGACTGGCTTTGAGGTTCTGAGGAACGCATGGCACTGAGGGGCGAGAGGTCAACACAGACATTTATTTATTCTCTGAATTCTTTCCATGATGCGTGTATGCATGTACAGTATATATATATATATATATATATATATATATATCACACCTGTCCTGGTGATGTCCCCTTCGCTCTGGGAGCTGTTGCACGTTCGTCCCTCGGCCACGACAACCAAAATGTACATTTCCCCACACGGCAGATCGATGATGTCACAGCCGGTGTCCGACGTGCTGCAGCAGAATCTGCCTCCGCTTATCTGCTCCAGCGTGGCCGTGTACGTTACCGCACCGGGAATGGCTGACCAGGCGATGCTGATCGTGCGATTGTCGCAGCCCACTGAATTGTTTACATTCTCAGGAGGACAGGGAGCTGTGGAAGGAGAAGCGCTGTGAGGTACAATTTAAAAACAACCTCCTGACTATTGCCAATGTACGGCATGAACCTGGGATCTATACTTGCACTACAAAAACAAGATTCTCAGTACGTCACCTTACAGCCATGGTACAGGAATTGCTTTTGCTGTTTTTAGAGGCTAGTTGTTCTAAAAAGTGTTAACTACTGTGTAAAAAATAGCACATTTCACTTGAAAACCCTCAGAGCTACATTAGATTGAGAGAATAGATTTTAGCTGCTTTTACAGACTGAAAACTTCACTGAAAATATCTTATTTAGTGATTTCTTCAGACCAGCCATTGCCCCTCAAGAGTAGCTAATATCTTCATTTCTACCACTAAAGCTATTTTTATTGAATGTAGCATCTTTCAAGATATTCTAATGGCATTAGCTTTTCTTTGGAGAAAATTGAATTAGTGCTTTCATTTTCATTTCAGGGTCTCTTGGGCAGATATGGACATCGAGTTGAAAAACTTGGTCTGGAGATCTGAATCATCATGTTTTAAAGAAATACAAATAGAGCAAATCAGCCATATTTTATCACAGAGCCGATTCTGCATCTCCTCTTTCCCTAGCTGTCTTTCTAGCTGTTTGAGTGCAAACCCTTTAAATCTATTATTAAAAAACGTAAACAAAACAAAAGCCAACAGTTACAGCTCAATAGCTCTGTGTAATAAAACATGTTTTAAAAGTGACTTCTTGTTTTTAAATTATAAATACTGTTTTAAATATTTATTTATGTATATAGTTTAATTTTATTTTCAATCTACCAGTCTCAGTCGTGACAGCATTGCTTGGTGCACTGGGACACTGCTGGTCGTGGGCCGCCATGGTGAAGGTGAGGTTTTGGCTGCACATCAGCGGCGGCAGAGCGCACATCCCGTCTGACGTGGAGTTACACGCAAATGTCTGGACGGCGCCCTGGCTGTCCGCCACCATGATGACGTAGTCCTCAGCCTCTGCAGACTCCTCGTACATCACCCAGACTGAGTTTACCAGGCAGTCGATCTCCACATCAGACAGGCGAGGTACGCAGGGAACTGGAGGTAACCAGGAACAGGTCAGAGAATGAGTTGTCATTTTTATCATATCCTAAAATCATTTTCTTAAAAGAAACAAAGACACAAATATGATTTAAAAAGAGTAAATAAAATAGAAGACAAAATAAGCTAAAAATAACTAGTTTACATCTGCCTCTTTATTCAAGCAAAGCTAAAATATTGATCCTTACCTGTCTTGATCAGTTTTGTTGGGCTGTCTCTGCCCACACATCCGTTTCTGGATGGTGTGATGGTGACGTTGTACTTTGTCCCGCACTCCAGCATGGTAAGATTACAGCCGGTGTTTGTGCCGCTGCAGTTGTGTCGGCGACCTGTGGCGTCAACCGCAGACACCGCGTACACGACCCCCGCCACACTGCTGTTCCAGGTCACAGATACAACACCGGTGGCACAGTTGACAGTGGGGAAGAAGGTCGGGAGAGGACAAGGAGCTGAGAGGAAGAGGAGAAGATGAACAAAGACACAAAAATTAACATCTCATTTAAAAAATGGACTTTTTTCTTAAAAAAAAAAAAAAAAAAATTAAAAAAAAATAAGAACACAGTTCATAGAAGTAAAAAAAAAAAGACCTTTTTTCGAAATTGAAAAGCATCATGAATCAACAAGTTTTGCTTTTTTATGTCCTTTAGTCTTTTGAATCACTCACTGATTGGACAAATACAAAAATGCACCGTGGTCGAGAAACATGGAAAAATGCATTATTCTAGATTTTCACACAGTAGCAACATTCAAATAGCACGGAGAAACAGCTAATCAAATGTGCTGTAACAATCACCAGCAGCTTTACCCACCTGCAAGAACCTGCTTTTTGGGGCTATGGGAGCTGTTGCAGGCCTCATCTTGGGCCACCACTGTAACATTGTAGGTCAGACCACACTGCATGTTGCGTACTACGCAGTGAAGCTTATTTGTTTGGCAGATGCTGACGTCACCGTTGCTGCTGCTCACCACGGATACACGGAACTGGGAAACGTCACCCATCGACTGCCAGGTAACGTTAAGGACACCGGACACACAGTCGAGGTCGTTCTGTATGTCCTGTGGCACACACGGAGCTGAACAGAGAAAGACAAAACATCTGTCACATCTGTATGGTCACAGGTTTGATCCCGCCTCAGGTATGCGTGTGGTTGAGGGAGACACTGAACTGCTCGTCATTGGTTCTGAGCTGCTTGGATGAACCTGAAATATTCTTGAGGTTTGCAACTATGGAGAGTAAGGAAACAGACAATTTGAATTAAACAAATTAACAATCAGCATAAAAATAGAACATAAAATAGTGAAGAAATAGAGGTGGAATTGTAAAAAGAAAAACATAATCCTGGTCTGATGAGAGATGATTTAGTTCAGTGGCTCTACAATAAATGTTGAAACCTTGAAAATGTGAAATCATTCTAAATAAAATGTTGAATCAGTCACAATTCACATAGTAAATATGGAGTTTCAAGTGACCAAAGACGAACCAAACATGACTTTGGTTTAAATACCTGTATGAATCACTTTGACATCACTCATGGCACCAATGCACGTGGCATCAACACCAGCAACGTAGACCTGGTACTGCTGTCCACAGAGCAGACCGGATATCTGGCAGGTGGTGCTGCTGGTGTTACAGGACCACCGGCGGCCCTGTGCATCCTTAGCCACGGCCATGTAGGAGGCGGAGCCCTGCGAGGCCTGCCACGACACCGAGATGTTGTTTGATTCACATGAAGAGTCGACCATCAGCTGGGTTGGAGGACAGGGAGCTGGGGGAATGAAAGATAATTTATATCATGCATCACTACATGTGTGTATGTATGTGTATACATATACACGTGTATGTATGTATACATATACACATGTATACACACACATACATACATACATACATACATACACACATACATACATACATACACACACATATACATATACACATATACGCACACACACA